ATGTTTAGTAAGCTGCGATTGGGCGATATGGGATAACTACGGTGAATTGTACAATTTTTGGATAAAGAGAAACCTAAGAAAGAATATAAAAACAAAACCAAAGAGAAAGAATAGCAACATCGTTATTTTAACATTCCTTTTACGAGTGTTTCTATTATCCTTAAGTTGGCTATGATTATACACTTTTATAATGACTTATCTAATAATTTATTATTTTCAATACGATTTGTTTCAACTAGCAACACCAATGCTATAGTTAATGATTATTATTGACATTCCTCTGTCGTGATAAAATCAGTACTGTACTGTAAGTAGCCTACCGGCCTATTGCGAGCAGTAGATTACAAAACTTTCTACTGTTTTGTTTTGTTCTTTACATGGTTTATGACTACGCAATACAGTGTTTGGCTAGGTTTTAGGAGGGTAAGAACAAGCTGTGATTTTAAACTCACAGCTTTTAACCTATACCAAGGTCAATGTCATTGTCATGATTGCGCAATATTCAAGATCCATCCCCTTTATTATGCCGGATAATTTAGGTTCTACTGTACAATGTAAACACTGTACTGTAAAGTATTGTAGCTTATGCTACTTTAATTGTATTTTAATGAGGTCAAATCCCGACCTATATTGACCGACGCTGGTTCTGAACCTCGACTTAGCGAAATTCCTGCAAACCTAACCTCTATATAACGAACCTCGTTTTAACGAAATCCTTGATATAACGAATACTCAGTTAGGTCCCTTCAGATTCGTTATACTGAGGTTGGACTGTATAACCAACTTTTGTAACCAGAATAGTATTGTTGAAATTGATATTATAGACTTAAGTTTTGAGGTCTGGTATTTTTCCTCTTTGTCTTTACTTCACTATTGCCTCCAGACTTTCATTGGTAATTTGTTTGTACATGATCAGCTGACACATAGACTGTCTTTGAACTCGAAGATATTGCGCCATTGATATGTTTTTAAAAGTTTAAATTAAACACCCAGATGCTGTAATAGTTGTGTTAAATTATCTTGTCAAAATTATACTTCCTTAATAGACATGATTAGTTTCCAAACATTCTAAACCTACTTATATAACCATTTTATGTTAGCCATTTCTTATCTTAGTAGTAATAAAATAGGTAGCCCTAAAGCCTTTATTTTAAATGTTTTCCTTTTCTTGATACAATCCTGATATGAGTAAAAGGTTTTAATACTGTGTAGTAGTTTTTGATAGAAAACCATGAATGTTAGACACTATCGATCTTCATAGTAATTAGTAATGTCAATCTAGCAAAAATTAAAAATAATGGTTTAAGTTAAATTCAATCTTGAACACCAAAATACTGGTAAACGTGTACCGTACTGATTTTGTACCAAGAACCGAGGTACAAAAAATGTACCGTATCAACATCAACCTTAAATTTTCTGACCCGCAGACCTCTAAACATCAGTCATGTTACCTGGAAGGTCGGGCAAGTCCAGAGGAACATCCAATTGGGGCACCTCTTGTAAGGTAGGGGAGTAGAAGTAGTTCTCCCCAATTTTAAACTCAACCACCTCCTGACACATGGAGCGAGGAGCTGCATCCAAGTCACCTTTGATTTCATCCTCCAATACTTGCCTCGTCTTAGTAACCACACCGAGGGGGTCAAGCATGACATACTTCTTGTACCTGAAAACCACAGGCAAATAGATTAACTCCTTGAAAAAATCCAAACTTAAGAAATCCTTATCTAATAGTTTTTTGCGGACATTTTCCATCACGGTTAGTAAAAACAAACCTTTTTGTGCAGACGCACTGGATTGTGTTCTACAAATTTTTGTTACTCCATGTATAAAAAAAGTTTAAATGGGGAAACAATCTAACATATTTAAGGAAATATTTCAAGAAATCCAATACAGGCAAATGGAAATTCGCTAAGTCAGTAGGTTTGCTGCAACACATGTATTTATTATTCTCGTTTTATAAGACCAATAAATTCTCACTACAGCCGTTTTATATAGGATAATCAAGAGTGTCTAGGTTTAGATAACGGTCTCAAACCAGTCTAACTTTAAATGTTGTAATCAATTGTAACAAAACAAAACGCTATCATTCTGTCAAATCACTTGCATCATAATAGTAGGATGGTACTAACAATGAGATGCCTTAAAATCAAGTGGCAATCTAATTGATCATAGAAAGATACAGACTTAAAGGGGAAAAATAATGATAACCAATTACAACAAAAGCACATAGACTTACAAGTTTTCTGAAGTATTAAAAAGGAGAAGAGCACTGACGGAGTCTAAATCAGCCGGTAAACTGCCAAGGCCTTCTTCTGGAGTCACTTCAATATTCTTCTTTATCTGCTTTGTGCTTGTTTTAATGTGGAAATGTTGACATTTGTCCTATAGACAAACCAGTGTTAAAATTCCCTTTTACATGAAGTTTGTTCGGTAAATTCACAAGACTTGTAAAAGGCTATGTTTTTTGTAGAAATTAATAAATCAGTAATTTATGAGCCAATCAGGTTATGTGAATAAAAATGTGTCTTAAGAAATAGGTACCCTTTAAATCAAATACTGTATACATATTTCAAGGTAACACAATATTAACTGCATAAAATTGTTATGCCAGCATTACATTTGCTGTAGTAAACAATCAAATGAAGTTACTGAAATGTGATTCTGTTCTTTGCATAAAATATACATAAGATTTTGGTCCTAACAACTGATCTATTACCAGAGTTCATTTTATCCTCTTTGAGACAGTCTATTGCATATTGGTTTCACTACTTATATTTCATTATGATACTTTATCATAAGTTTAAAGGGATTCAAAGAATTTTGGCACATATTTTGTTAGAGTGTTCTGGCAAATTGTTGTCATTAGCAGCCTACTCTGAACATCAAAGCTAACAAATTAAAATCCAGCCATCATTTCATTAATATATTATACGGTACTTACTTTGATAGAGTCTGGGTCAAACGGAGGATGTTTGGATGATATTTGCACACTGGTCCGATCAAGCTTTGGTAACGGCGTTGAAAGAATGTCTAGAGTATAGTCTCGAGGTATATCACTACCAGGGTACTTTGCACTGGCAAAAACCTGCAGATAGATTTACATTGATAACAAACTACACTTTGATGACAATACTTATCTATGAATATATTAAGCTTCAAAGCTTACTTCATACCAGAAGTCACATTATGTTGAAAACAGACGCATACAATCCTCTAGATCACTTATAAATTTTTTCATTTTTATAAAATTGAATTGCATTGAATCTTTATTATCCAACCTTAACTGGCCATAGACAAGTAACACACCGAATGTCATAACAGGGGAAATAAAAACAAACCATCGACAACATGTTAAAAATTATTATTAAAGTTTCTCAATTATCGAACCTATTCAATGCCTTAAGTTTCTCTTGTATAAATCCACAAACTTCTCTCGCTTCCAAGGCATCATCACATTTAATATGAAAAAAAATCAATAAGGTAAAAACATGACTACATTTACTGTAAAGTGTGAGATAAGGCTAGACTCATCCGCTCAGCACAGGTCTACTTTCGCACCATGACTAAGATTTGAAGGATAGCAGAGAAGTTGACAAACTGTGTGTTACATGCAGTTTGAAACTGTATGACCGTACAGCAAAATTCAGGAGATAAAACCTGAGGTATTTTCCATGAACAGTCAGGCGCAGCAAAAGGTATTGTCTCAACATAGCCACTATAGTATACAGATTATCGTAATACACAGTACTCGATCGTCCACAGAGAGGGTTATAACACAGACATTTTAATAATTGAGTGTGTGATATATAAAAAAATTGGAATGTATACGCAGTCCAACAATTGGGGAGAGGGACACTCTTCTTCCTTAACTCAACCAAATTACATTGTAATTATCAAGTAATATTAACCTAAAAAACAGCTGATTTTTCTTTGCTATTTAAAAGGATTAGAGGCTATTCCTTGTCCAGACAATTATTTGCCCTTCTGTCCTTCATCAAAAATAGCTACGGATTTTAAAGCTAATTAGACCTATACATAGCCAGTGCAAGAGTTGTAATTTGAACCACACTGTAATTAAAACAGCTTAAATGTGTTACAGTAGTTTCAATAGGTACATTTTGTAAACAACTTCAAAACTGTTCTGTGTTATATTATGCAGCCGGAGTGTACAGTAAATTAGTAGGCAAGAGGCCAGAGGTCTTCAATCTTTGTTCTTCAGGGGCCACATTGTACATTCTTGGAGAGAAGGCGGACAAATGAAATTTCGGTGAAGAAGGTCTAGCCCATGAGGGGCCCTACGAAGTTGTTAACTAATTACGAGTTTAGTGGTGGGTTTTTATATTTTTTTGTTTTGTTTTTGCTATATTTTTGTATATAACTTGTTGGAAAACTAAAATTCTAGATAAGCCTAATGAAAACATAACATAATGACATAGGCCTACATCTTTTATCCAGGCCAACTACAAAATGTAATTTATTGAACTGTTAATTGTAATTATAATGAGAAACAGGAGTTTAAACCAGTGTAAAGTGTCAAAACAACAATAATTTATTAGTGGGAATATTGCAATGCCATTTAAAATATAATTAAATAGACCATACAAATTTTAACAACTGTATTAAGTTACACTAAAAAAATATCACACTTAAAATAATATAAAGGGTGTGAATATTTATACCCTCTGTTAGGCTTGCGCCATTTTTAAAGGTGATGGTGTGGATTTTACAAAAAAACGTTTTTGGATGGGACAAATTTTGGATAAATGTGAACAGGATTTGACTGCTCATACATATCCGTAAAGGCCTATACAATTATGTACCTCATACCTTGGTAGCCTTATTTGTGCCAGCTAATTTATCCATTTTTTTGTTAATTAATTTGCTTCGGTCTTGAAGTTTCGAAAGTTGAACTTTCTGTTTTTCTACTGATGATTTGATATGTTGGAAAATTCCACATGATACCTTCTCCAAGTAATCTAGAGCTAACGTGATTTGTATTACAGTTTCCTCTTGTCGCAACCCCTGATGTATAATCGGGACTTCGGCATAAGGAACGTGACTCATTTTGACACCTGGAACAACCAAAAGTATTATAATCACCACCAACTGTACCTTTTTAGGACCCTACAAAACATTAGCAATATATAGTGTGATTGAAAATTCCAGGAACGGTGTAATATATTTCTTACCACTACCGGTACCGTACAGATAAAGTAATGAGACTTGGTATGTCAATAATAGCTATAAATATCTACTCTTTTAAGCTATTGTCACTTTTTATCCTTTAATAGCCTACTAGGACTTCAGACAGTATTCTTAAAAAGCAGCATAGGTCAAGTTTGGTATCAAATTAAAGGTCTTAGTATAATAAATTTCTGCAAAACCAAAGTCAAAGGGACTATAGAGTCAAAAATTGCAGATGTTCAAATATTTCTTGAATCTGTCATTTTGAATCTTTGAACGGCAGCCATTTTTTACTCAGTTGTTCTATTGAGCTCAAATTTGCAGTACTGTATTCTACTAATTAATTTTTTGTGCATATCTACCTATGCTTTTAACATGTTGACTGCTAACGCCGACTCTAGTCGCGTCGCTAGCACTTCAATGTGGCGCGTGCCGACGAAAGTCGGCACCAGACCAACAGAAAAATATTGAGTCAGTGTGAGCTTAGCCTCAGACGGAGACGTTTTAATCGTTGCCAGCCTGCCAGCTTAGAATGCGAGCTTTACTTTGGTGTAGGTTGGTACTAAAATTTCCCGTAAAATCCTGTCTGGCAATGCTTTTGTCCCGGTTTCGGGGATTTTTTCTCTTCAACCCACATTACAAAGACACTGGATACGGATCCGTGCAGTGCTTCTACCTTTGGGTGTTTCAGTGAACTACATCCACTCTCGGGGTAACGCAGCACAGTCACCACCGCTCTTTTGTGATTCGTCAGACTGAAATATTTGAATGCCAATTGCGTTCGCTGATTCGGTTGCCCCGCCACTGGGGAGCGCCTGTACGTTGTTTTCAGCAGTCATCGTGTTAAGTTATAATATTCTTCAGATTTCTAGCTGGCTACCTAACCATAGGAGATAGTGTATAGCATTGCAAATTCAATGAATCTTTGAACAGCTTTAATTTTTTACTCTGTTGTCCGTTTGAATTCAGGTCTGCAGCAATATTTTCTACTGACTAAGACCTGTAATTTGATTTTAAACTCGACCTATATACCGCTATTTAAGAATTTTGTCTGACTCCTCGTGCCCCCCCTTAAGGGATAAAAAGTTAAAACAGCTTTAAATTGTAGACATTTATGGTTAGCCTACTTACTTTCAGTGTCCGGAAATCAGACTTCGCTTTTCCAAAAATTAGCTACCGATATGGCTTTGTCATTCGCATGTAAAAGATCATCTAATATGCAAGACTGGTCTAGGCGTGGGCAGATCAGCAGATGGCCAGGATCCTGAATAGCACCACACGCGCACAAGATGTTTTCTTCGTCTGGTAAGAGACCCCATTTCTGCATGTTTGTCTTGCATTTTGGTACCTCGACCCTAATTAGATTTAGGGTCTTCCACACCGTGTAATGAAGGCCTCCACCAGGAGCCAGTTCCTCCCTGGCTGGTATGGGAGGGTTGGTCAACGTAGCCTCCCACCTTGCCACCCATTTGCTTTCGAGAGTGATCCATCCAAGACTCGTGTCCGTGATAAAAAGCTCTTTCTGGACCGAAGCCGTCGCTCTGCAGGTTGGTGGCCGTGTAATGGGTGACGAGGGTCTGTCTCTTGATTAGTCCTTTCTGCCTCGGCAGCGACATCACGTTGGATTGGTGGAGGGGCGATCCCTATGATAGGATAGAGTTTGTGTACTGGGGTTGGTTTCAAATACCCAGTTCAATCCGAGCCATGTCATTGACTGCAATGTCAACCTTTTTTGCATGTGACGATGCATTCCATACTGGTGCAGCGTACTCCGCAACCGACACACTGAGCGCTAAAGCTGAGGTTCTGAGGACATTAGGGTTAGCACCCATTTATGGTTAGGCCTATACCAAGTCTCATTACTTTATCTATAACTAAATGGTAAAAAATATATTACACCATTCCGGGACTTTTCAATCACACTGGGGCCTGTGTATAACAAAGCCTACTATGTTTTAGGGATCAAACTCATACATTATAAAGAGGGTTTGTATATATATGACATGAAACATAGCCTCCTCTAATACAAGACTGCAGCAAGCCAAAAAGTGGAAACACCACTGCCCCGTCAAACCGATACAGCCGTTGGTCTAATTTTTAATGGACAGTATAGAAAATGTTAATGTTTACACTCATATTAACTTATTTCTGATATTAACAAGGCAATAGGCATGACGTTGCATCGTTACCACACACCAACGCCCCTGCCTTATGTTAGAAGAGGAGGGGCTATGGATGAAAGTATGCCTATTTTATATTTCAAGGGTCGCACTGCTGATTTAGTTTCCATACCAAACTGGTCTAAATTACTCAGTTGATTCCTACGGCCCAAGTTATCCAACTTTCCACCAGTGTTTTTTTTAATCAACCATTGTCAGATCAACAATGTGGTTGACACTAAAACTTCTGAATTCCGATTCTGGTTTCCAAAGCCTACATATTAATGATTTTACTTGAGTATATTTTAGTTTAGGCTATTTAAAACTGTGTATTTCTTCATAGATTGCCAAAAACTAGTCCTACAACAGATTACACTAAATCTTTGCAATTAGGCCTATAAATTTTCCTAATCATGAATAACTAGACAGTAAGATCTTCCAGCCAGACCGCACTAATACTATCAGTCTTTCTTTACATAACATGCTTCACCACTCCATTAGTTACTTCAAAGAAGTAAGTAAGTACTATGTAAGTAAGTTCTTCTTGAATCATATCAATATATATATGGTCACTTTCATGAACAAAACAAAATCTCTTACATCTTACATCTTACATCTTACATCCGGCGTCTTCTCCACGATCAGCCGATCGGGGAATCGTCAATTCAAACTGCAGGGTCTTCTTTCTTCACGAGGCGAGACGTGAGAAAGTGTGGTCAGACACAAAGTCTGAGATTTTATAGTAGGGCCTATCAGCAAGGTATTGTTTAAGTTTTATGTTGAATGTGCGTGTTGGTGGTAGATTTTTTAGGTCTTGAGGCAAGAGATTGTAGAAAAATGAGCCAGAATAGGTTGGGGTTTTGTTAAATTTTTGGAGTCTATGCTGAGGTAGGTCAATATTGTGTTTGTTGCGAGTGTTATAGGAATGTTTCTCTTGTCGTAGGGTTGGGGATTGTTGTCTGGCCAGGATTATGGTTTCATAGATATAGAGGGAATAGACGGTAAGGATTTTGTGTTGGGTAAAAAATGGTTTGCAGTGCTCCGAGGGTTGCAGGCGCAGTATTGTTCTAAGGGTCTTCTTTTGCCGAACCAAGATGCGGTCTGTGTTCTTCTCCTGGGTGGATCCCCAGGCGACGATTCCATACCGCAGATGGGAAGAAAAAAGTGAGTGGTAGGCCAGAATTGCAGTGTTTTCATCAGTTATAGCTCTAATGCGTCTAATTACGTGGTGAGCCGTAGCTAATTTTTTGCAGAGATGGTCGGTGTGATCTTGCCAACTCAAGTTTTGGTCTATAATAACTCCCAAGAATTTGGTTGATGCGGTAACGGGAATCTTCAATCCTTGCCAGTCCTCATCAGCTCTATTACTGTTGTTTGGCTTGAAACTTATGTGAACGGTTTTTGTGGTGTTAATGCTGAGTTTAAGAGACTTGCAGATAGAGGTAGCCTCGTCCAGGGTTGAATTGACTATGTTGCTATTGTTCTCGTGGTACTTTGTAGGGATTACTATTGTTGTATCGTCTGCGTAGAGTATGGTTCTCAGATTATGGTTCAGTGACTCTGGTAGGCTATTAATATAAATTAAAAAGTACAAAGGACCCAATATCGATCCCTGTGGGACTCCTACCACTGTTTTCATTAAGGATGATTTGACGGTTCCAATTGTGTTGTGGTGCTGATAGCCTAATTCGACAAATTGTTACCTGTCATCAAGGTAATTTTTAACCCAATTTAGAGCTAGGTCCGTGATATTGAACAGTTTAAGTTTCTGAAGAAAAATTTCCCAGTTTAAATTGTCAAAGGCTTTTTGTAGATCCAAAAAAAGAGCTGAAGCGCTACACTTATTTTCCCACAGATCATTTATGGTTTTGCATAGATGAGCTATTGCCGTGTTGGTACTATGACCCTTTCTGAAACCGTGTTGGCATGGAGATAAAAGATTGTAGTTTTGAAGGTGGGTGGATAATTGGTTATAAATAGCACGCTCAAGCAGTTTAGATATGACTGGCAGATTTGAAATTGGTCTGTAATTATTGGGTTCATGTTTGTCGCCCTTTTTAAAGACAGGGTAGATTTTTGCTATCTTTAACTTCTCAGGCACTGTGGCTTGTTGTATGGAGCTATTGATAATATGGCAAACAGGCTTTAATAGCTCTTCCTTGCAGAACCTGAGAATCTTCCCTGTGACATCATCAAATCCCGCAGAGTTGTTAGGCTTAATACTGCTACAGAGTTTATCCAATTCCCGTTCAGATATGTAGTTGAAAGAAGACAACGGTGGCACTCCTCTGTCAGGTTCCATCAGCTTGATGTCATTTTCTGGTTGGTTGGTGGTATGTTCCAGGGTAGGCTGTGTATATAATTTGTTAAAAATATTGCTCACGTAATAAGGGTCATGTATTAGTTTGCCATGTTGCATTAGGCTAATTTGTTTTTGTTGTGTAGTGCTCTTCTTTCTCTCATTATTAACTATATTCCATATAGCTTTAGTTCTATTGTCAGCCTGAGCTATTTTTTCTGCAGTGTGGCGTCTTCGTGTACTATTAACTTGTTGGTCGTAAGCTCTCTTTATGTCGTGGAAACCTTCCTTGTCGTCCTCTGCACCAGTGAGCAGATATTTGTTGTGGGCAATTTGCAGAGCTGCTTTTTGTTCCAAGATGTCCTTGTCCCAAAAAATATTTTTGTTTGTTGTTGAGACCCTCTTTGGTTCCTTAGGCATAATGTGGTCCATGTTGAGTCGAAGAATCCTTAGAAAGTTGTTATATTTTTCATCCACAGATCTCAATGCATAAACAGGCGCCCAATCCACTGTACTTAGTTTTTCCTTTAACTCTTTCAATTTAGCCTTAGAAAAATTTCTTGAGTATTTATAGGTAGCTGGCTGGTGTTTATTCTTATTTTTAACTTTACATATTAAATAGTGGTGATCCGAAAGACTGGTCAGGTGTGCTTGTACAGATATTTCATCTGGTTGTAAGTTGGTGTAACATCCGTCAATACTAGAGAGAGATGTTGGAGTTTTTCTCGTCACAGGAATATCATATGCGTAACACCCATATTCAGCCAACAGGCATAGGAGATTTTTTACACCCCGATTGTCAGGCTTCAAAATGTCAAAATTGGCGTCGCCTAGGATCAGGCAGTAGTTATTTTTCGTGGTGTAATTCTGTAAGACGTGTGCCAGTTTTGTTAGAAAATCCTCTTCAGTAGTACTATCAGGTGATCTGTATGTACCAATCAGTATGATGTTATAGAATTTATATTTTAGTTTGATTGCAACAGTCTCAAATTTTTGTTCTTCTGCCGTACACAGTTCCTGGAGTTTAATTTCTTCTGAGTCGATATGAAAATTATTTCTTAGGTAAAGTGCAACACCACCCCACATGTGATGGATTCTACAGAATTGTGATGCCAGCACATATCCTTCAATATTTGTAACTGCGAGCTCTTCACTCTTTAGACCGTGTTCCGACAGGATCAAGATGTCAGGCCTAATTTTGTCTACCTCTATAAGCAATCTGTCAATTTTGTTTTGTAGTCCACGCTGTATGTTGAGATGGAAGATAGTTAATGGTTTGTGGAAATTAATATTGTGCTGTGTGTTGGAAACTTGTCGGATATGTTGGTTGTTAGGCTGGTGGGGGGTGGGTTTTGGCCGGTGTGCTATGTCGTCTGCGGGGAAGTCGGTGACTTGGAGTTTGGGTGCTCTTGATTTTCATCATGGCTCTCATCTACGTCCTCTGCAACAGGTCCGATGATGTCAATGATGCGTCTGGTCAGGATCTCCGCCCCTTCGCTGTTTAGATGGACTCCGCACTTCAGATGTTCTTCTCCTAATAGGCTTGTGTTGTCAATAAAATTTATTTTCAGCTGCGCACACATGAATCGTAGTGCATTGTTGGTTTCCTCTATGAATCTACGGTAACTGTCATATCTATATGGTATTGACATCACATACCAGTCCGTCCCTGGGTGGAGTTTCTTGTATGCCTCAATAGCCAGCCAGAGTGGACGCATTACATGGTTCGGGGTTCTTGCTGATGACATGTTGTTAGAACCAAAATTTACAATAACCTTTTTTGGAAGTGTCCTTTGCTCAGAGAGGAATCCACATGCTCTCTCATAGTCTTGACTGCATAACTCTACAACTTTAACTTAGACTTTAATTGCAACTTTAAAGGCCATACTACACAATCTCCGAAGTCATTGTAGAGCACACTTTCCAGCACCTGAGACATGAATAGGCCTACAAATCCATTTTTACCCTAGGCCTAGTCCCAGTAAGAAGTTTGACGATTCCCCGATCCCTGGATTGTGGAGAAGACACCGGATGGTAAATGGTAAATTTATAATAGGTACTGTAAATATATTTTAAAATAACTTATTGATTAATAATCAATATTTTCAATAATAATCTATATTTTCAATTCGATAGTTTCAATCAATATTAGCGTAGCCCAGTTAAGAAACTGTACCCCAGTAAAAAGCTAAATGTACCTTATTCTAAATAATTGTTATGGTTTCCAATCGGCCTATCATAAAATCCTAATGGGGTGCAGTTTCTTAACTGGGCTACACTAATATTGATTGAAACTATCGATTAGTTAATGCAATTTTTTCAACATCAGCAAGTTTGGTTGGTTATTTTAGGTTATGATAGTTTAATTCTATAATAGATATATTTTAAAATATCGATTATTAATCAATATTTTCAATTCGATAGTTTCAATCAATATTAGCGTAGCCCAGTTAAGAAACTGTACCCTCATAAGGTAAGTTATTAGACTATTTACATCGTTGTTATTCTTATGTAAAGTTGTATAGGTTAGGCTTTTGTTTATTGTAAATAATGCCTAAGTATGATGCTTTTTACCTTTATATTGATGACGGATTTCCAACAAATTTTCGGTTATCTACATTCAATAAATACTGTAATGATTCATTTATATGCATCAATAATGTGTAAGCATTAGATTATGATATGCATCTATAAAAGAAGTTGGAGAACAAACACTCCTGCTCTGCTGAGTACAGGTGTAGAGATATAAAGTCAATGGTACAGGTGAGGTCTGCTCCTGCTGACTGCTGAGGTGAGGTGCAGTGTTTCCATCCGCAAGAAAAAAATATCCCTGGGCCAACGTCAAAAAATCCCTAGTTATCCCTAGTCCGTTTTCTAATAATCCCTCCAATTATCCCTCTTCATCAAATCTAGTAGATACTTATTATTTTTGCAGCAATACCAATGGATATAATCATAGCCACCTAAAATATGGTAACTGGTGGTATTCATACCATATTATTTATAAAGTAGGTAATACTATATAAAAAACATTTTTGCACCATTAAAACCACGGCCATCTTTAACTCCAGGCAGGCCGCGGCCTGGTAGAATTGGCAACGTTGCAAGTATCGTAGTATTGTTTAGCGCAAGACGTCCTATAAGTTAACATGGCAATAAAACACAATATAGAGTCGAAAACCAAAACAATATAAATTGAAAATCTATTTTTATACGTTCAATGTGGAGTCAATATTTTCATAGCCCAGTAACCAAGCTTTCGTATTCTTAAAAAAATAAAAAAATATCATTAGCTTAGGTTCTCCAAACAAACACCTTTTACAACAAACTTGCAATGTTGCCACTTCGAAGGCCGCGGCCTCCGGCCTGGAATTAAAGGTAGGTAGCCGTGATTAAAAACTGCCTATGTGGTACAAAACAAGATAAATTAACTAAAAAAATGAAACAAATAAATTGTTTCATAAATGTTACTCAAGTGTCAAAAATTTCAAACTTATAGTCTTTTTCAAAACATGGCCACCATGCCTTGGTGAAAAGGTTACACCAAGTTACTTACTAACCAAAAAACATCACAGAAATCACCGGCAAACAAAATCAAAACGAAAACAAACATTCGACATCATTTACACAGGGCACAGGGCTACTAAGAAACAAATACAGTAATCTATATCCGCCATTACATTCCACCGACCGACTGGACACGTCCTTCGCTTGTTTCGTGCAGTGTTGGCTGTTACTATTCCCCTTGTCTGTTCCGACTTTGAAACACTACGTCATTACCACTACCTAAAACCATAGGTAAAACATACTCCATGAGGAGTATCTTCTACAATCGATTTGTTACCAAAACCTGGGGAAAAGTAGTATAATCAATGTGTTATCAATACCTTGCAAAATTAGCCAAAATAGGTCCTTAACGTTGTTGAAATACAGCCAAAATGTATTATTTTATCAATATTTCAATTTTATAAAGTCAAAGCCCTTTTTATCCCTCAAATGGAAACACTGGTGAGGTGGGTGAACTCAACTCAACTAGTGAACTTGAACTAATCAACTCTCAACTCAACTCAACTGAGTACTTGACTGACTGGGAGGGACTTAAGAACTTGACTCGAACTGGCGCTGGGGCGCTATCTACCAGGTGTCACTAACATTAACGTTCGTAACAGTTCGTTTAACTGCCGCTAGGTGTCTCCTAAGTTGAATGTCCAGCTCTCGCTGTGATTTTGTACAAGCTCCAAGCTGGTATATGACACCCCAAAATTTGCTTTCTTCTCCGCAATCCGCAGTCATATCTTTTACTTATTATTTGAAAAGCCGAGAGTCGTGCCTCTTACCTGAGGCCGATGATTGGCTTATAACTCTCACTAGATGTTCACTGGAGGACCATAACTCCAGAGACATGGCCGCACTAGAGACCTTCCCTGAAGGACAAAACCCCCCACAATGCGCGAGGCGATGTGGTTGGTTGTTGGGTTGTTAATTATATTAGTTGTTGTGTCCATTCTCCTGCTATACAGTAATTATTATTAACAGTAAAAACTGTGTCAAAACAAAATCTGTAAACCGTGTTTTATTGTAGTTTATTAGTAATTTCTCACTGGTTCATATCAATAATAGTATTGAATAGCATATCATTTTAAAGATTATTAAATGGGCGGGTTTTTTATGCATTTCAACATAGCATAGATGAAGGTTTATGTATCAAAGTGGGCTCATGAAATTTATCATAATTAATTAATTTAATGACATTTTTACTTTATTTTGGATATAACGTGGACTATGTAATGGTATAATTGTTGAATGAACCCTTTGATTTATAGCAAATTTAATATTCTTTCCAATGATTTTAACTATAACTCTCTAAAGTAATTGGTTAGGTATTTATTACATAAATTGTGGAGCAAAGTCTAATAAAATAAGAAAAACACAAAATCCCCTATTACAGCCAAACGGTTGAAAATCGGACATGGGTTTATAGGAACTTTTTTGTTCCTTTTAGTGAGTAGAACCTACTGGCGAAGTTAACTCGGTCAGTAGAAACTCACCCTGTATAGTAGTATAAAGTAGGTATATACAGTATAGTCAATTATTTTACCCTGAACAAATCAAAATATTCTGCTTGTTATTACTAACCACGTTCCGCTGTATGTAGATCAGATCCTGACGGTAATTAGTGTTTAATTTTGTATATTTGGCATTTTTGTTTTTTATTTGTCTAGGGTGAATGAAAATATATCCATATTTACTATCGAGTGTATTATAGAGGGATTAATTCGTCCGATTCCATACTGAATTTGTGTTTTCAAAAGGCGTACAACATTTGACCGATTGTGCGCCCAGTCCAGTCATTAATTTGTCATTAAGCTAGTTAATTAATTTGTCATTAGCATAATACCTCATTAATGCTAAAAGTGGTCATCGTTAGGTAGTAACAAGACCAGGGGTTGGACAGAATCCTTAATAATAAGTGTAAAATGTCAATGGGGTTGATAATCACAAAATAAAAATCCCACTGATTTTGAAGGATCATATAATTAATTCTGAAAACATATTTCAAATGTGTCGGATACAACTCCAGATTGGGGACTTACAAAGGCATGGGTTACGGGGTTGTGGCGAGGGCACGCGCTTGTGATAAGAGTGATACCGGGGTCGATACAGGAGCGCGCACTCCGCGCAGCATCGTGTGGGTGACAGGCGCGACTGACGACCGACAACCCCCACAACACTGCTCCCGGCCAGTTACCCATTACCTAGCAGACACCTCAGATCTGACCCTACAGTCCTCAGAATCTTCAAGTTGGAAGGGAAAGTCGTTTCTATTTTCGGCAGGATCTTCACCCCGCCTCCGATTGTCAACCATATCCGCAACCTTATGGTATGTGATGCGCCATTATCTTTTCTCTGTTAACCCAGGTTCGACTCCCAACAGAGTTAGATCGGGTCTCTGATCGACCATAGACCATATGTTGTTGTAAAAACTATGTTGCCTTATCTGGGTGCAATAATATGAAACTATGCACATTAAGACAGTACGGTATTGTAAATGTTAAAAAATAAAATTATCCCGGTGACTTATGAAACATAAATATAATAATAAAAGTATATATTTAATTAAAATAATATATACTTATTTGTACTTGAAATGTTGGTTTATGTAAACTCTTCTACGATTAAAAAAAAATGTCTACATTAAAATACACCAAACATGGGTGTTTTTTAACGTACCCGTAAAAAATGCTTTTAGATACATAATTAAATACATTCGATTAATATTGATTTTAAAATTAAAAACACACAAAAATGCCTGTCTCAGCAAACCTGCAAACGACGCGAATTTTGTTTTCACCATATTTTCTTTAAGTTTTCTTTTATTTTAAGGAAATTTACCCTCACGTTTACTCTCGATGTAACTAATACTAGTCTCAATGATGACTTTGTTTTCCTACTAAGATGCAACTCATTACAAGACTAGAGAAACTTTATCAAAATACTCTAACAGGAAAATAAAATTAATTACGTGAATAAATTTACACTCTACAAGTTAGTATAGTATTTTGGAGCAAACCTAAAATGTTTACTTAAATATAACACTATATGGGCAACAAATAAAGGTTATGATATAAACAATTACGACATTGTTTCAAATGATACCATCCTAACACCATAAACAAAGGGGTTTACTCATATAACCATTTTTATAGCCTAATATCATTGATATAAGCTGATATGGTTCATATATGGTTGTTTTTTTTTCATGGCGAATCCGACAGCTCCATAATTAATTATGAATAAATACGTATAAAGTATTGCTTATCATGGCCATAACAGGTTGATCTGATCTTTGCTACTCGTAATATTAGGCCTACACTTATTTTCCAATATTTACATTTTAAATATGAAATAATCTCCAAATAACAAAAATACATTTTTTGAGTATGCCTACATTGCATATTGAATACAATAATTGTAGTCAATAATTATTTTTGACCTTCCACTGCGTAGGTTAGGTCCACTAGTTTAAAAATTCAATTTTTCGTTATTGCAGTGAAACATCTGTTTTCAATGTCATGCGTTATTGCGGGACTGGAGTGATTATGTTTATCCTTAAAATAAACTGCAGCTGAGGACATCAGCTGTCTTTTTTAACTTAAAATTCGTCCGCCGATTTGTTGGCCAGAAAATAGTCCTGATTAAAAAATACCACCGTGTCGCACTACATATTTTAATACATACACGTAACCTCCTTATCGACATTTAGATAAATGGACATGTTGACATTTTTTAGTAAACTAAGTTTTTAAAAAATTGTGTAATACCTAGTGCATATAAAATTTTTGTATTTGATAACCAAACTAGAAGGGTCGCATTTTGGGAGCTAATTTGTAATTTGTCTAAAGGAAACAATGGATAAAACTTGTCTTTTTTAATTATAATTAGGTTATAGAATGGTGCAGTATGACGAAAAATATAATTATTTATCACATTGACAAAATAACTTTTCAACTTTCATTCAGGGATCAGATAGGGGACAGTGATCACAATTACACTACTGGCATTCATTGGAGGTGGGAGGGGGATTTTAATATAAGCATTCTATTGATAGCTTATATTTTTTTAAAGTAACCCTAAAAATCATTTGTTGAATCAATCAACTCTACTAAACACTAGATTAATTAAATCTCCGCTATTCATATATAACATGTGTTTGTCGCAATAACACGAGATCTTCGCAATCGCGGGATAACATTAGTTTCACCGGGATCCCGGTATACGATGATGATGGTCAATATATTGCAGCGATGACGAGATGCGATGCGATGTCGATGTCTTATCGACGGCGGGGGAATGTCAATATATTGCAGCGATCACGGGTGTCGATGATGATGATGTTTTCGTGACTGAGGAAGAATGTAAATATATTGCAACGTTCGCACGGGAGGCGATGGCGATGTCTTCGCGAATTTCAATATATGTATTGCAGAGCGATCACGGTTACAACAACAACGGCAATGAAGATAGATGTCTTATCGACGGCGGGGGTATGCCAATATATTGCAGCGATCGCGGGCGGCGATAATGATGTCTTCGTGACCGCGAGGGAATGTCAATATATATTTGAATATATATTGTGACGATCACGGGTGACGATAATGATGTTTTCGTGACCGTGGGGGAATGTCAATATATTTCAGCGATCACATGTGTATTGGATTGTGTTTTTTACCGTACTTTTTAAATTTACCAGGATGTATTGGAAATGGAGTAAAAGTCTATTAATAACCTTCCATGGAGATGGTGAATGAAAAATGTTAAGTGAACTAATTGCCAGGATAAAAAGCTTACCAAAGCATCATTTAGGAAATAAGATAAAGATGTAAAGGCCTCTGAGAAGGAGAGTAAAAGTGGTTCATTCACGGTTAGGTGTTCTCAAGTCTCAAGTACCATTATTGTGCTTGGCTTTAAACAACACACGGAATAACTCGTGTTACTCGCTCATTTGGGCTTTTCAACTTGTAGTTGAACCACGTTGACATTTACTTTTCCTCTATAATTACCTGAGGATCAGGATCTATTACATTTTGTTGAACTATTATTTTTGTATAGTACCTCTTAACATGAGGTAATTTATATGCTAAATTTATATACAAAATTAAAAAAAAATCTTAACTATTTAATTCAATAACTTAAGTATAACTATAGTAATTTTATCTTTTAAAATATTGTTACAATAAATGTACAATAACTTTAGGGGAATTTTTATTCATACTGGGTGTTTTTTTTTATAAAAGTGGACACAGATTGTACAAGTAAACTTAAACTCTGTTTGAAGAAAATTGAGTTTGTTGGCTGCTATGCTTCCAGCTTCCATTACTTCATTACCGACCATTTAATATGCATTGTTGTCTTCATGTTTTGTGTTGTTGGGAATTTATTGTGAATAAGACTCAACAGTCAACATGGTTTTCTAAAACGCAACTATGTTTAAGATTAATGCATATTTGTGGAAAAATAAAAATTGTATTATTAATCTTTATATTTTTATAACCTGTAGTTGATTAATTAATTAATATGCCCATGAAAAGCTAATAACATTTTTCATTATTGTTCTTCACTCTTCACCAGTTGGATACTAAACTATTAACATTGCAAAGCTTGTGCAGTGTTCTCAAAGTCATGAAACTTATCTACCAATATGTTAATTTATTCTTGACATAAAAATGTTTAAATATTTTACCTACGACCGTTTTTTTAAAAATATCCATTTCAGTTCAGTTCTTAGAATTGAAGTTTCACTTAACAGCTGTTTACTTTCATAACAGCATAGTTTCATTTCATAACACCATAGTTTTTCTCATAAACACGGGTAACGGACCAATGAGGTTCAAGGATTGAGAGAAAATAAGTAAAGTTCTAATGTTTCGAACGTCAACTAATCAGCTGATCAGCTGATCAGTTGACAATTTTAATTGTTGATCCGACTTGTTCCTGTTGATACTAGCGTATTCTTAACCTAAGTTTGTGGAAGTTAAAGGAAGGTGGATTGAACTGATTTAAAAATGTCAGTTAGTGAAAGTGAAGTTGACGAAATGGAAATGAGAGCACAAACTGTTTGTGCTAATCTTTTGCCACCAAAATCGAAACAAATGTATGAAATTACATACCAGCAATTCATTAAATGGACGAAACAAAATAAGGTTAAATTAATAAATGAAAATGTGCTTCTGGTTTATTTTGAAAACCTCTTAACCAGTGTTTCAACCAACTCGTTGTGGACCACATGTTCGGTGCTGAAATCTAACTGTAAATTAAAGGTCCGTGAAGTTGGCGTACCCATATTAGCGTATCCACTTTTGTTCATACCAATCGTTAGTTCATCGTTAGTTCTCGATAGTTCCCAAATTTTTTCGTTAGTTCTCAAAAAATAAAAAAGTTATAGCTGTTAATAAGTGGGTAAGCTAACTTCACACTTCCGGTTTCTAGCTCGCGCCGTTTTCTGATAAAGAATGTTTTCATCTATATATCAATCGTTAGTTCTTCGTTAGTCCTCGATAGTTCTCCAATATTTTCGTTAGTTCTAAAAAGTAAGTTACGAGGCATACAAAATGGGTACGCTAACTTCACAATTATTGAATTTCCAGCGGGCACCGTTTTCTGACAATAAATGCTTATATCTATATACCAATCGTTATAGTACTTCGTTAGTTCTCGATAGTTCTCCAATATTTACATTAGTTCTCAAAAAATAAAAAAAGTTACGAGGCATACAAAGTGGGTACGCTAACTTCACGGTCATAGAATTTCCAGCGGGCACTGTTTTCTTACTATAAATGCTTATATCTATATACCAATCGTTAGTCCTCCGTTAGTTCTCAATATTTCTCCAATATTTACGTTAGTTCTCGAAAAATAAAAAAGTGAAGAGTTATACAAAGTGGAAAAGCTAACCTCACAATTATAGAATTTCCAGCGAGAACAGTTTTATGACTATAAATGCCACCAAAATTAATTATATATAAATCTATCGTTAGTTCTCGATAGTTCTCCAATATTTACGTTAGTTCTTGAAAAATTAAAAAGTTACGAGGCATACAAAGTGGGTATGCCAACTTCACAACTACCTATACAATTTCCAGCGGGCACCGTTTTCTGACTAAAAATGCTTATATCTATATACCAATTGTTAGTTCTTCGTTAGTTCTCAATAGTTCTCCAATATTTACGTTAGTTTTTTAAAAATTAAAAAGTTACGAGGCATACAAAGTGGGTACGCCAACTTCACAATTATAGAATTTCCAGCAAGAACAGTTTTATGACTATAAATGCTTATATCTATATACCAATTGTTAGTTCTTCGTTAGTTCTCAATAGTTCTCCAATATTTACGTTAGTTCTCGAAAAATAAAAAAAGTTACGAGGCATGCAAAGTGGGTACGCTAACTCCACAGTTATAGAATTTCCAGCGGGCTCGCCTTAAATTTTCTACTCGTGTCGTAAAGACTAACTTAACGCAATCGTTGCGTAAACTACTATTACCTTACATCTATTTTTTTTCTCTTTGAAATCATAATGTCTGTAATGAGACATCAAAAATTACATCTTTTTGTACCAGTCAATGTAGAAAAATCCTAGATATTTACTCAATGAAATGAACACAGGGAAGCGATGTCCATACATTGCATTCCTGATTCTCAATGAAATACCGTACAGTATGAAACACAATCAATATGGAAAAACTAAAACTCAATAATCCACTGCAATGTTCAAGAGAGGACACAAGTTTGAAAAAATCCAATAACCATCCACTTTCACATTGAAATTCATCGACACAAATACTTAATATTTGAAACCTTACAATATGATGGTAATAATAAATGTAGTACCTTAATTCTAGTATACCTATATAATGATATCTAAGTTATTTAAATACGCTTTATTTTAACAATCTAAACACTTAAAATAAATATAAATACCTACTAAATGTAGTATTTTGTCTGATTTCATGTTAACAGACATATAACTACAAAACACAAAGTCACAACTAATATCACACAGCACATATTCCTTGCCAATACAGTTCACAAAATAAAATAACCACAAGTACTACAGCTTTTGGCCTTTCCACTCGTGATGCCACAATACTTTAAAACCAAATTGGATTTCCTTGTTCTTTTGTGTTCTTTTCACATTTCTACAGCTTATATGTTTGGAGGAAACAAAACGTGATTTCACTTTTAAATAATTTAACAAATATTCAAAGTTAAATTGTTCTGTTCTTATCTTCAATTCTCTTCTGATTTTTAATTTTTTGGATGTACACACTTTAATTTATGACTGTCTAAACATAATTAATCAGTGTTAGTATTTTGGTTAAGAATTGATGATAAAATCAAGTACAACTAAGAGTAATTAATATCATACCCCTCCCCTACCAGGTGATATCATGTATTATACTTAATACCTATATAAACACAATAAACGTGTAAACCTACATCTATCGCGAAACAGCATGATCGAACTATGGGAACGGGGCTTTATGGGGGTAATAATTGGGTTTTCCTATTTTTCATAAAATTTAGCAATTTCTTTCCAAACCATTTTGTAGAGCTTAAAAAAACAAATAATTAAATATATTGAAGTGTTATTATGCGCCTAATCGTTACGGAGAAAATTCCAAAAAATATAAATTTAAAATTCCCATGTTAGTTTTATGGAGAATAAGTAAACTGTTGTAGTTTGTTTTTATGAACATATTTTTATCAAATTTGGAAAATGCTTTTATTTCTTACTAAACTATTAAAATTTTACAAAAAAAACTCTTTAGCCTCCCTGTTGCAGCAAACCCAAGTACTCGTTAAACTAATTAAATAGGGAATAAATGTGATATTTTTATGGAGACATTTTAGTGTAAATCTTTTAGGCAAATGAAAATTTGCTTAGTCTGCCTGCAGGTTTGCTTTGGGTATTTTTTAATACAACTGAATTTCCTACCTATCTGACTACACATTGTTTTGAAAAGTGAGATAGATAAGATTGAAGATTGCTCAGTTACGATAAGATTATATTTGCCTTTTACTTGAATCAAGGAGGGACGATATCCAGTACTTACATTGTTGTTAAAATTGGACACTTTCTCCTAAGCTATTGTGAACCTAACTAAGATGTATTCTGTAAGTAACCTTAGTATATTAACTATTGTTGTATAATTTTAAATAATAAGATGAATAAATATTGTTTTAGGACCATTATTTAGTTTGACTTAAATATGGTGGGTATAATGCAAATCACAAAGGAAAAGAATGTAGGTGATTTAGATGCTGAAATAACGGGTGTCTTCAGTTACAATTTATGAAATTATCAAGTTAAATAACAACCTTCGCCGACGTTGACGTTTATAGTATCATCACCGTTTGCAGCAACATATTGAATATTTAGCCAACATTTGTAGTTATTCCTGCTGGATTCGCTAGCTTTGTCGACAATCGTAACTTTATTAGTTATTTATTACTAGGGGATTTGCAAATTTGCTAACATCACTAACGATCACGGCTACCTCAATAGCTTTGCTGACGACATTTGTAATATTGTTGCTAGAATCTTCAATGTTCTCGTCATTTTTGCAAACATCGTCAATAGCACACGGATATTGCTAACTTCGATGAAGTTCGTGAAAATATTGCCAGCTCCCATGACGTTCACAGTCACATTGCTAGCTTCGACAATTTTTGGGTGATAAGTAGTTGGCTAATTGTACTAACATATTTTATAAAATTAAATAATTTCTACTATTTCAGGAACTAGGTTTCTCTACTGGGATTTCTAAACAGCGGGGAACATCAAGACTCTACTGTACAACTGTACAACTGTACAACTGTGGTAACTTATACGTTACCACAATGTAAATTTTCCCAATTTCTCTGAGTGTACATGGCAAAAATACCTTCAGATATCAAATCCAAAAATTATATATGCATTTGAACATTGTGAACCACATACCGGTACATGAAAAAAAATCTTTTGGAAAAAATAAGTAGTCATTTAAAAATATTTACCTAGGTACTGATAAAAGATAGCATTATATATCGCCGGTCCCCTTGCGAAGGGGTGTAACTGCAAATTTGACCGTTTTAGAGTTATAGCCACCAGCCAGTTGGCATTGGTAGTGCGCAAGTCCACACAAAGTGGCGTATCTGTATCTCAAATAGCAAGGAAGTTATGAGTCAGAATGTATTTAGGCGTATCTGCGTATTAAAGAGATCGTGTTCTCACGAAGTGGCGTATCTTCTCTTACATATTATGTTATACTTAGTATTTTTACTTAATTACATTCAAATTGCAAAAACAACGGCTGAAGCAGTGAAACAACCTGACAATTTTTAAATATGTTAATTGATATGTTAAACTTAATGGTTGAGAATCGATATGTTGTCAAGGATTCATTAGATATCAACCACTTTGATAGTTGACATAAGTTATAAGAAAAACCGTCTTGATAATGCACTGTAGTAAACATTTGAGCTTCAAGTAGTTAGATCAATACGTAAAACATACACACACAAAAATTGGATCTTAATTTTTTTGTTTCTGTGATGGAGAAGGTAAATTAACGTTTTGTCTCGGACAGCAAAAATCTCCCTTACAAAGAGGAAGTTGACTCCCTAGGGACAATGAGAGGGTAGAACACTGGAACAGTAACAACAACAAAATAGGGAGAATAAGTTACTCTTTTTACATGCAACTCTTCGCACTATTGTTATGTTAAAGATTTATTTAAGATAAAATGTATGCAAAGGTAAATAAACATTTTTTGTTCTTGAAACTGACATTAAAATGCTGAAGACATATCTTGACTTGTGTTGATTACCAATATTAATGCATTTTCTATTTGTGTGCATAGGATATGTAATGTCTGAAAATGCTTACTTTCTGGAGTATCTCAGAACGGAATATTTAGGGTAAGGTTGATGGAATCAATCAGTTTATTTAGGAATTATTTCTAATTAAAAAACTCTTAGTATGAATTTTCCTATTCTGGCTTAAAACAAAAAATATTTAGGTACAAAAAGGCTTTTGAGTTTATTTCTATTTTTAAAGTAGTAAACATATAATCCAAATTTAAATAAAGCAGAGGTTTTAGTGTGGATTGGAACAGTGAGAAACTTATATTCTTAGCGGTAAAGTCTTCAGTGTATTTTAATATTATCAATTTGATAACTTTTTCAGACAAGAACTACAGAAGGAGGTGCTTCAGAGGGAGGAGAGGGAACTATCAACCTGGGACCAACCATCCCAGGAACACCACTCACAAACCCGACACCAACGTCCAAGGAGACAAATGTACCTACACAATATGAAAGACCAATTGAAATATCAACATTTGAAAGACCACCGACAAACTCGGCCACAGAACCGTTTGAAAGACCACCACCTAACCAGAAAAAAGATTTTGTATCTAACAAACCTAACATTTCAAAAACACAAATGAATGGTGAGTTTTTAAAACACAAAGTAGAGTCTTTAACCCTTGCTATGTTGGGGAGCGAGCTGACGTAGTGGTTAGAGCGCGGGACTTCAGTCCCTTAGGTCCCGGGTTCGATCCCCGACAAGTCACCAATGGATTTTATCTAAGTGATAATGCCGCAACCCCTAGGTCTAGCCTGAAGTAATGTGAAAAACAATCCCAGGCTCGTGCCTAGCGTCCTAGGACAAAAAAAACCCTTGCTATGTCACTGTTTATTAGACTTAAAATTTGATGCCACATTTCTCATCAGACACTATAGATTTACCTAGAGTGCAATACAGAATACAAAGAAGCAAAAATAATATAAGAATATAAGAATAAATATCAGAAATGGGACGCCATCAGCGTAAGTGCAACAAATCTCTGAAAACCTAGATCCAGCCTTGCTTGAGTGTAATTATGGAGTATATTTTATCCTCATTTGACTAAGACAATGTACAAAAGTACTTAATTAAAAAAAAACAAGATAGAACTTTGGGTTAAACAAAATCCTTTAATGGATTATTTAGATGAAAATGTTTAATGTGTTAGGCCTAATCTTTGTGTATACTTGAAGTTTTGCCTAAATGATTATAAAGCGTGGATGTATTGTTGAACTTAGAAGGATCAGAGTATTCAAAGAACTTACCTGTAGAAAAGACACTCTACTCTTGTAAAATAAGAGTCAAAGAGGTTCCCAATAATGAGACACTTTTCAATTGTTTATTCAAAAACTCAATTGCTCTCACAGCCTTATAAACTCTCTTATTATATAAATTAATTCTAGTAAATGTTGAACAGAGTTCCGGGAAGCGTTTAGGCTGTTTGATAAGGACGGAGATGGAAGTATCACACAGGAGGAGTTGGGCAGAGTAATGCGGAGTTTGGGACAATTTGCGAGAGAAGAGGAGTTGCAGCAGATGCTACATGAAGTAGACATTGATGGTGAGTAAAATAACAAAATGATAAGGGGAAAAACTTTCAAAACAATTAATTAGGTTCACAATATTATGAATAAATGCATTTGTAGAGTAAATTACTTTAAAAATTTTTACATGATTTAAGTATTGCTTTAGAGTAAGCAGCTGAGTGGTTATAATGCTAGCCTGACAATCTAATGGTTTCTGGTTCGATCCTGAGAAAAGCCTAGATATTTTTAAGGCTGGAAACTGGAGCTGTTCTTGATCATTGAGATTTTTAATGGATGGTTCTGGCTACAGAACATGCTGATCTTAGTAAGAAAGCAGTCATCTCATTCATTCAACATATGCTACCCTTCACCCATCATCAACTTAAAATACCCTGAAGTTGTCTTTGTAAAATCTGACCTAATCATTGATCATGATATATATTATCAAATGATAGCATAAGGTCAAGTAATAAAGGTCCAGGTAGATTAGTTTATATTATATTGCGACTGTCGTTAGGTGAATGTAAGGCTTGGTTGAGAATTTAACAAAATAATACTGGTGGATTCAAGAAACAATTTGGTTTAGTGAATTAAATATGTAAACGGGAAGGGGTAGAGCACAGTCGCCATCCAGATGTTCACACTTTGGCTCTAACTAAATAAATAACCCAGACCTCCCATGGTAGTGGGATGCCAGATATCAGTGAAATCAATCAGGACATTCAGTCAGTGGTCTGACCACATATCACCACAATATCACCTAGCAGACTATTATAGTCAGGAACCAAATACTATGTAAACATGTGACAGCCTAGTTAAATATTTAACTAGGCCTAATGTTTAATGGTCTTTATCCAACGGCCTTTAATGCTGTGCATTATGTGTTCATGGGTGTCCGATCTAGGCTGCCTAGTAAGTGTATTCAATCCTCTGCAATATCTTGAATTTACAATAAACTTGATTAATTTGCTCTATGAATTTTCAGGAGATGGTTACTTCAGCTTTGAGGAGTTTGTTGAAATTGTTTCCAACATGGGAGCAACAGCTGAAAAAACTGCAGACCAAGAAGAAAAGGAGCTCCGAGATGCATTCAGAGTAAAGAACTTTTTATTCATGCAATTCTAATTGTAATTATAATTATATATTATTATGCAACACAATCTACAATGATCCTAAGAAAGACCAGAGAATGTACCAAAACAAACAGTTCTGAAATTAGAAACTTGTGTATATTTTTGTCAGCAGCTATTTACCAACTTATGTTTTTTAAGAAAGGATATTGTTTTTGCGAATAGCCTTGTAGTTTGCTTGTACTGTTTGCTTGTAAGGCGACTTGCCGCTTAGCACGATTTAAATAATGTTATGTTATTAAATTTCCCGCCAAATTTGAGGTAAGGTCAATGTTACAATTTTTTACCACAAGAAGCATACTCAATGGTGACATTTATTGCAAAATGACAAAAGTTATGGCCCTAATGCAATGAGTGAGGGCAGGCCATAAAATAACATGTTAACTGCTGAGATTTTGTCGCTCAGTGACTGAGAGTGGTGCCGGCATATTTTTTTATGATTCACATTTTAAATGTATCGGAATTTAAAAAACAACACAATATAAATATTTTAGAGTACAGTATTGAGCTATGATTTTGGCCCAAGAGGTTGTGAAGGGAGCCTTGGCCTGTTACAACGTTCTAGAATACGTAGTTAAGTGAGATTATGTGGACTATTTACAAGCAAATATAATCGAAAAATTCATTAAAAGATACGTAGAAATGTGTGATTTTCACTTTGCTTTAACTTATGCAAAAATTTCCGGGGGGAACCGACAGACCCCCAGTAAGTCCGGCGCCACTGTCGCTCAGTGGAAATCCCTTAAAATATGCTCTGAGTGAGGGTAAAGTGGGAAAGTAGGTTTGGAAGTGTATAAATGGCTGTGAAAACCTTTTTCCTTTGTGGTCTTCTGTGAGAATTCTGAGTACCCACCAAAATGACAATTCCTTCCGAAGTAGACATTTTCACAACCATTTTTTAACACTCCCTAACCTATTTCTGCACCCTAACTCATTGCATTAAGGTTATAATCTTCAGTCATCTGGCGATGAATTTCCGCAGCCAATATTTTTTTGCAGTCAAAAGCATTGACCCCGTATGCAGTGGAAGAGACAATAATTTTAGTTTTATAGACACACAGCACACAGCAAATTATACACGTCAGCAATAGAGCGGCAATGGACACCATTCTGTTCACAAATTAGGCCAGTAAGCAGCGGAGAAGCCTCGACATGCCAACTTCAGAGCTATACGCAGAAACGGCCGTTACTTTAAAAAAAAGGTCCCTCATAGATGAAATGAGTTTATTGAAATCCATAAAACCACATTGATATTCTTACATATGAATTTTAAAATTTAAAGTCTTGGTGATGAAACTGAAACATGGTGGCTATATGAGAGGCTCGGTGCTACTCAGGAACATGTATATTTTTTCTCTTTTGTCGGCTCTTAATAAGTCTTCTAATTAAAAATCTCTTCTGAAAGCGCTTTCACTTTCACAAAAATTATTAAATGGTGAAATATAGTGGAAGTAAGGTGGGGTTAGAAAGTTTGTTCTTTAAGCCTGGTAATGGAAGCAAAGTTGTGAAAAGAGAATTTTAGTTTCTAGTTTTTATTTTAATAAGGGAAACAAAATTTGGTTAAAGTTTAACAGAACGACTGACCTAAAAGCTGACTATTTGTTTTTTAATTGTTTCTTATATACATAACATTCCATACATAGGGTTACAAACAATTAATTGTGATTTTCCTTTAGGTATTTGATAAACACAATAGAGGCTACATAAGTGCTTCTGACTTGCGGGCTGTTCTTCAATGTCTGGGAGAAGATTTGTCTGAAGAAGAAAGTAAGCAATCTTTACCATTCTATAAGAACCAAAGTATCTAAAACCATTTAATTTAGTTACATCTTGAATATGTACTAACCTCATATAAATCCCTCCACTTACATCATGAGAAGTACAGTGTAGATAAGGTTAGTGTCATAGATCAGATAAATCTATACCAGACATACCAATCAAAACAACAAAAAATATCAACAAGTGGTAATTCTCCTATCGACTAGAGTGATAAATTCGGTTCTTTCAAAGAACCAAGTCTTTAATCCTGTCAAACAGCACCTTGGAATGTGTAGCTATTGCGACCATTGCGGAAATGGGAAAAAAATGTTTACCCCATAAACCCCCTTTCCCATAGTCCGATCATACTGGTTCACAAACTCAATCGAATTAATTTAGGTTTACACCTTTGTACAAAATTTCAACAAAATCAAATAATTTTTTCTCAAGTTATCTTGCTAACGGACATATATACAGAGTGTTCCGTGAGTAAACAGCCTAACTCCAGGAAATGGCTCTATGGGTCAAAATGATGAGTTAAACAAAGTATAACATTTTTCCAAAATTGCTTCGTTAACCAGATATCAACCATTTTGTTTTTTTCACATTACAATTTTTATCTTTAAAGTTTTTCAATCGACCATTCGGAACTTGGTATGTATGTTAAGATAAAAGAGACCCATGTTGGAAAAAAGTTCATCTTGATTCATCTTAAGATTTCAAAATGGCAGCTATTTCAATTTTTAAACTTAAATTACTAAGAAAAGGCTGATTTTATAAAAAGATTTGAAAAACACTTTTATTTAGCATTTTTAATTCCCTATCAAACACTACCAAGTTCAAAAAGATCTAATGAGAAATAGCTGAAATATTACAATTTTTAGATGTAAAATCGGGTAGAAAAGGCTAAGCTAGTCAGGTTTGCCCCATTTTGTATGATTTTAGCAAATTTCCCATATAGGGAATAAGCTATTACCGTAGGTCTCATGTTAAGACCTGGACTGATTTACTTTTTCGTTTTGATGTTTTCAGAGGTTAAAAACACCATCTGTTCAAATTCATATATATATATGTGTGTGTGTGTCTCTCAGCACGATAACTCAAGCAAAAATGATCAGATTTTGATGAAATTTGGTACAAACATGTAAACCTACGTTTATTTGAACGAGTTTGCGAACTAGCATGATTGGACCATTAGAACAGGATTTTATGGGGGAATTTATGGGGTATAAAATGGTATTTCTCGTTTTTTACCCTCAATACATAAAATTTCCCACTTTCTCTCTAGACCATTTTGAAGTGCTTGAAAAACTAACTGTTGTACTTTGCTTGTTTATGGATATACAGTAGAGTCCCGCAAACTCGGCACTGGATAACCCGGCAGTCTGGATAACTCGGCCATCACCTGGCTCAGAAAATTAGTGATTTTTTGAGTCTGAGTTAAACATGGACACAAGCCAGCTCAAGTATAATCATTTGCAACTCGTACTAAGGATTTGTTGTACTATATCTGATGACTTAATACTGACTTGTAATATAATAAATCTAATTGAAAAAGGCGGTTAAAATGCTTAAAAATTGTATTGCTCTTATTTTTAACTCTAGTTCCCGATAACCCGACATTTCACAAACTCGGCACCCTTCCAGTCCACATTACGCCGAGTTTGCGGGACTCTACTGTATATTGATCAAACTTGGCAAATCTATTTATTTTATACTAAGCGAATAATTTTTTTACTAAAAAACACTTGTTTATCCTCCATGTAGCAGCAAACCTAGGTACTTGACTCGTTAAACCTAATGTTATTTAAATAGATTTAATTTAAAATCAATTCAGACAAATGGAAATTCACTTAGTCTGCAGGTTTGCTGCGGGGAAAGTATTTAGTTGTAAAATGAGGCCAACCTGACTAGCTTCTGCCTAGTCTACCCCAATTACTAAAAATTGTAATATTTCAGCTATTTCTTATTCGATCTTTTTGAGCTTGATATAGTTTGATAGGGAATTAAAAATGCCAGATAAAAGCGTACTTGACATTTTTTCATAAAATCAGCCATTTTGAGAAATTTAAGTTCAAAAACTTTAAGTGGCCGCCATTTTGGTATTTTAAGTTGAATCCAGATGACTTTTTTTCTAACATGGATTTATTTTACACACATACCAAGTTTCATAAAGATCGGTAAAAAAACGAAGATAAAAATGTCCATGAAAAATTACAAAATGGTGGATATCTGGTTAACAAAGCGATTTTGAAAACATTAAATTTTTTATTTTCTCTTTATTTTGACCCAAGGAATCACTACGTAAATTGTGTCCCCACCTTTTTTGAACAAACTGTATATATGAATTTGATCGGATGGTGTTGTTAGGGACATAAAAAACTAAAAAGTATATCGGTCCTGGGTCTTACCGTGCCACCTACGGTAATAGCTCATTCACTATATGGGAAATTCAGTAAAGACCTTTGTCAACATAATAAAATATAAAATCATTAAATTTAAAACTAAAAACTAACCTATGAAAAATATCTAACATGTCTCAGCTGGGAAGCGGGAAGGTGTTAATAGTACTTGCATAAAATTCCATGCTTGGCAATTCTCACCTGGAAACTATCTACTTATCAACATTTCACTCAAACTTTTATTCACGGGCTTATTGTTTGATTTCAGTTGAAGACATGATCAAAGAAGTAGATGTGGATGGTGATGGTAGAATCGACTTTTACGGTAAGTTGTGTTTTTTGTAAGTAGTTTTTTTTTTTTTTTTTTTTTTTTTGTATTAATAACTAAATTAAAAAGCCTATGTTAATTTTGGCTGACCATTATCTTAGCAACATCGTTTCACCTGTTAACTTATTCAATTTTATTGTTATGACGGAATGTTTCAGAGTTTGTGCATGCCCTCGGAGAGCCAGGAGCCGATGATGACATGGAAGAAGAAGATGAAGATGCTTTGATACAAGGCTAATCAACACCATCCATATCAAACAGACATTTCTGAATTTACTTGGAAACTATAATTTAAATGTTGAGTTTACACCATACAAAGCTTATTTTTCAACATTTGAAGTGAGTGTTGAATTAATATAACTAAAACAATTTATATATTTCTTAGTTCATTCATTTTTTTAAATCTACCATTTGGGTTCAAATTTTTAGAAAAATTAGGTATCTATATTGTTAACCATTTGACTCACAAAGAACTATACAGACTGTCCCAAAAGTCCCGGACCGGTTTAATATTTTCTAAACGACTACAGATAAATCAATAAGATTTGGTACATCAACACCACACCTAAAAATCTACTTTTTTAAGGAAATATCGAATTTCTGTCACATCATGGGGACGTCCTGCAAGGAGTCAGAAGGGAATCTTAAATAGAAGCATAGGTTGACATGTACATCAAATAAAAGGTCTTTACTAGCAGAATATAATGCTGCAAATTTGAGCTCAAACGGACAACCAAGTCAAGAATGACAGTGGTTCAAAGATTCATTTAATTTGCATTTGGGGGCACAGCCCTAGGAATTGGAAAAAAATTGTTAACGTAAGCATAGGTCGATATGCACATCAAATTAAAGGTCTTTACTAGCAGAATATAATGCTGCAAATTTGAGCTCAAACGGACAACCAAGTCAAGAATGACAGTGGTTCAAAGATTCATTTAATTTGCATTTGGGGGCACAGCCCTAGGAATCGGAAAAAAATTGTTAACGTAAGCATAGGTCGATATGCACATCAAATTAAAGGTCTTCACTAGTAGATTACGATGCCGTAAATTCAAGCTCAAAAGAACGCCTGAGTAAAAAATGGCAGTCGTTCAAAGATTCAAAATGGGAGGTTCAAGAAATCTTTGAACGGCCGCCATTTTGTAACGGGTTGTCCTTTTGAGGCGCGGTTTCCGGCATTGAACTCTGCTAGCTAAGCTCTTTAAACTGATGTGCATATTGACCTATGCTTCTATTTAAGATTTCCTTCTGACTCCGTGTGGGACGTCCCCATGATATGACAGAAAATTGATAGTTCCTTAAAAAAGTAGATTTTTAAGTGTGGTGTTGATGTGCAAAATATTATTGATTTATCTCTTGTCGTTTAGAAAATATTAAACCGGTCCGGGACTTTTGGGACAGTCTGTATAATGGGGTGCCATAATTTAAAAATAATTACTGGAAGCTACTGTTGTAGGGCTTGTGCGACAGACATTTATTTGTGATCAATGCACAGGCTCTACAGTGTACAATGCCATCAGGTTGTGGGTTCAAATCTGTCTCAGTCAGGTCTCATTAGGAGCTAACTTGTCAATGGCAAATCTAAATAGGAGAGCCTCTTTTAATAACAGTAATTGGACGTTTCTAATGGAAGTTGACTAAGTGGTGTATTATTATTTGTTAGCTACACTATTATTTGTGCACGGTTGCAGTTACTGACAACTGATTTATATGAACATTTTTACTGTCTCACAAGATACAGAAAATTTAAGAAAATAATCAAATCAACCAATAATCTCAGGGGTTCAAACGGTTAAGAAAGACTGATTGGATCACATTATTATGGCAAAATAATGCCTCAATGCAAATGGTCTCGGGGAGCGAGCTGGCGTAGTGGTTAGAGCGCGGGACTTCAGTCCCTGAGGTCCCGGGTTCGATCCCCGCCAAGTCACCAATGGATTTTATCTAAGTGATAATGCCGCAACTCCTAGGTCTAGCCTGAAGTAATGTGAAAAACAATCCCAGGCTCGTGCCTAGCGTCCTAGGACAAAAAAAAAAGAAAAGGCAAATGGTCTCACTTTGTACATATTTTTTCCACAAAATTTATGTGTATTTTCCTCTATGTGTGAAACCCGGACACAGCTATTCTATTATTACTGACATTAAGCAAAAGAATTTCTCAATTAAGCAATTATCTGCTTTGTGGTTTATTGTCTTTGAATACCAAATCTTCCTCGACCTTGCTCTTAATAGAGTATAGTGACAAGACCAAACAGCTAATAAATAGCCAATAAAAAGTAATACTGCTATCAGACAAGTTTAATATAAGAATATATACAAGTTGGTGTGAAAATAAATGTTTAATCATTTATACTACTGCAAAACCTATAGTTTTCAGGTATAAATTGTTTACGTTTCTGTACAAATGATTATCTAGAATCCAATATTTTCAGAATCTGTCAGGATTTCTATCTTACAATCATATTTGTATTGTTTGATAAAATCAAAATGTATTGTGATTATTGAATTTTTAAATATATGATTACCTTAAATGTAACACCAATTAACTGGGACATTTCTACATTATTCATGTGAGGTGCAAATCCTTACAAAGCTATGCTTCAATGTCATATATATCATCTCCTGGCTTGTGCTAATATTGTGTATAATTTTTAATAAATAAATTCGTATCATTGTGTAAACGCTATCTTTTATCCACCTATTCCCCTTCATCTAGACTTTAAGGATGAATTTCCTATGGTTGGTTATTTAGACTTCTAATAAATAAAGATCTGTTGTTTTTACATTAACCATTACCATTTAGGTCTAGTTGAATTAACCATGAAAACAATAATTTTCATTCGATGAAAAAATTAATTTCTTATTAGTTAAATTATTTAATTAAAACTATGTTAGTTTGTAATGGCGAGGTTTAATTTAATTGATTTATGCTGTTGAATTTAATGTTTTTTTTGTAACTTTAAAATAAATATATCCCCATCCTACAACCTGTACCTTTGCGTTATTCCCTACCCCTCCGTAGTTCGTACTCCGAGTTAGAAATTACAAGACTAAGGTTCCTCGCCCACACAACGATTTTGGTTGCTCGACATCATGCCACCAAGAACATTTTTTTTTTTTTTTTTTTTAAGAGGTTGGCGGCCTCTTTTAACCTTGCATTTGCCCGTCCACATAGACTAAGCGCCCGTGCGTGGATCGTTTACAGCAAAGCAAGGAGTGAGCCGGTACAGTACAAAGGTGAACTGTACTGATAAAATGTTACCGGCAGTGACCAGGATCCGAACCCACGACATCGCTGCCTTGGGCCCGAAGTCCGCGACGCTACCGACTGAGCCACCGACTCACTAAAACTCACATTGTATCGGTGGAGCGGTCCTTGCCCACACAACGACACATTATCGGTAAAACAAGCAGGTACTCAGCAGCAGTGTACGAGTGTAATCGTTGCGCAACAATCTCAAGAGGGGTTACATTTATAAAATAGTAAAACAATGGATCCTGAATCTAGCAAAAGTGCTAGATTTACTACTTTCACGCTAAAAAATGTCCTTAGGACATTGAATTGAAAAAAAAGACACTAAAACTAACGATATGGACGGTGCTCGTTCACGTGGTTTGAGCATAGGTGTATACTAATTAATCAAAATAGGGAACCCACAAGAGCATACCACACTCTTTTTAAAGGACGTGATGATTGTAAGTTTCAATGTTAGTCACTATTCACTCCAATGTACAGAAGCAGTATATGCCAAGTGCACTACAAGGAAACACAGCAAGAACTACTGCTGAGAACGGGCTACTGCCAACAAAATATAGGTGTGTGGGCCAACCTCCATTTGGTTACGTACGCCAATATGTTCCAATGAATCGGGCGACAGTCGTGGATCACAATGGCAGTGGACGACTGCACGCCGACCGATTGTCGTCGTTGTTCGACTGTTGGTGTGTGAGTGAGCGCTTATAACATCCATTGGTTCACAATTGGAATTTGGTCGGGCGACCGAAATCGTATTGTGAAAGAGGGGCCTAATAAGTCACAATTCCCCACTGTTTAGAGCTGTTGTAAAAATTCTATTATTACATTAATAAACCACAGTTTTATGAGATAGTACTCCATTTTTACTACTAAGCCAATGATTTAACTCTGTTTATTTAGTTTTAATCCCTTTAAATCAAAATAAAAAATCAAAGACATAGCCTAGAACAGTTAGTGAAACTTGCACAAAAAATAATTACTTATGAGAAAATAAAACTTTTATTGAATATACAAATTTGATGTCATGATAACTATACATAGTTACATACAAACGCATACGAGTATGTTAAAGTAACTAAGTTCAGCATGAGCACTAATTAAAAATGCATAAGATAGTTTATCCTAGAAAATATGTATTTATTATACAGCATAACAAAATTATTGTACATAACAACAAAGTAAGAACCATAAACAATAGAACCACAACAATACTAAAGATAACTGGTTTGTGCAACTGTACTGACTGACAATATTTGTTTCAGATAAAAATTACATCTAAAGAAAATGTAACGTTGCTTTGATCACAACTTCTTTCAATGACTTTAAACATATGATATAATTGAATAGTTGGAAGATATATAAAGAAATAAAATGAATATTTTTGGAATAACGAGCCAATATAAAAATACAGACTTATTGGGTGGGAGAGAAGGAGGTGGGCACAATGATGCGTGAGTGCATCTCTCGTATGAGAGGAACTGTGTAGGCGACACACTCGTCCCAGCCTGGGGACCTCCAGGCTGCTTCCCTAGTGTCCTTACGAGCCTGCAGGTTCTCATAACCTGCAACATTCACAAAAGCTTATTCATGAGAATCAAGTCATTTTAATGGGTATAATATTGTAATATACTGTCTTATTAGTAAATAAATACTACATATTCCTGTAAAGTACACTCTCGATTAACCGAGGTTGATGGGACCGAGACTACATTGGTTACCAAGAATCTTAATCAGTTTTATCTTCACCGCCTGATTCAGCATACGAAATTGAATGACATCGAAAGTGTTAAAACTCACATTCACCGTATTTTAAATTAGCTGAGAGAAGTCACGGACATGAACAGCCAATGTGAATGCACTATTGAATAAGCCATAAAAATGGTTAAAGTTGTTCTATCTGATGAGTCACAGTACTTGTGGACAAACTCTATACGAAATAAACAGGCATTAACACTTATAAAGCTGGTAACAAGTCCTTAGTGCAGTCAAATGCAGGTAATAAGCTAGGACATGACACACTAGTACACACTGCAGTGGCATGAAGATTATTTTCCACTGATTGTGGTGGCATTGTGATTACCTATCTCCCAAAATCATAGAGACACTATGGTCTTTAGTGATAGTGGCAAAATTACAATTTTGATTGTGCAACCTTTGCAGACAGTTTGTGCAAATAAGACGAACAGGGTCGCCACCAAAGTGAAGTAAAAAAATGCATGCAGAATTCAAGGATTTTTTCATTGGTCTTAAAAAATTATAGGCAGTTTGCAATTTCACCCCCAAACGAGTGTTGCCTAGCTAAGAATTGTACATTTAAGAGACAATTGTTTTGTGTGTTTCTATTAATTAAATTCCACAGTTAAAAAAGGATATACATAAAAATAAGCTTGTGTGTGATAAAACAATGTGATTATTAATCAAAAATAAATCTGATTTTGAGAAAATATAACGATAAATTCAAACCTTAGAAGAAGAAAACGCAATTAGTAGCTTTTAAGTTCAAATAATAAGTTATTTTTAATTATATTACACTGCAGACACAAACAATGTTTAAAATATTACAATATAGTTTATTAGCAAAGATCTTAAAGTAAAAAATGTATCCAGTTTGAGAATAATAAATTAAGAAATTCACTTTGCATTGTGATAATTGGAAATTTTCTTAGTATGCAGGTAGTATGCATTCAAGACGGCAGGGTTTTTTTTAAATATGGATTTGTTTATTTGGCAAAAATATATGTTAAATTATTATTTATGATTTTGAAAATTCATGGTCCAAAGAAGTAATTCACGCATAGTTCACCCACTTTTTCGTGGTCACCTAAATTCACGCTTCCATGCCTCGTGGCAACTCTACAATAATAAAAGATTGGCTTTATTAACTGACATGATGTTAAACACTCAAGCTTTAAGACCAGAAACAACTTGGCTAAAAAACTTTTAATCTCTAGTGTTAAGACTGACTCACAAGGATGTATAAAGTCTACTTACACCAAATATGATGAACATTGTAAAGCCTTCCAATTTGGGAAAAGAAGGCTGCAAAGGGTTCATCGTTGTTGCGGCGATAGTTGATGGCTCTTGCCCAGTTGTTTCCCCACTCTATCATAGTGCCCGGCTTGAGGCTGTAGCTGCGGATCTCGTACAAGTTGTTGCCCTTGCGAGGCGAGATTGGTGGCCAGTAACTGAATGCCAGCAGGTACTGTAGATGACGAGACCTGAGGTAGTTGCCCCTCTCAGTCAACAGTTGCTGATAAGTCTGAATTATACTGATTGGGTAAGTAATTTGTGTAGGCACATGAAAGTTTAAATCTATGGTTTTAGTTAGTGTTATCTCCAGCACAGTTTTATTTTTTCCGCCTTCAAACCGTATAGGCCAACTGGGAATTACACAGAAATAGCCTTTGTAAGATTACCCTAAGTTGTTTATTTAATTAGATTAATCTCAATTGTGACAAAAATTTATTTTGCTTATTCCCAAAGTATCTATCACTATGCCGTACTATTTTGCGGAAGTACTCCAAAAACACATTTTGCCAATAAAAAAGAATGGTTGCGATTATTTGTAGGGAACTCCTTCATTCTCACTGAAGTTGAAAAAATGACTTTTACAAAAATATTAATAGATCTGTTACAAGATGATTACCAAAAAGAGGAAATAGTGAAAGTATTTTCTTTGAATTAAGTACCGTAAAAGTTCAGAAAGGAATGATGGCATATTAAGAATAATAGCTCATTTCAACGAAATACCAAGATAAATCTTGATATATTGCTTTCAGAATACTGGGACAAATCATTATATTATACTTCTTAAACAATAACTGTACTTAGTATTTAGTTATCTAAAGGTTGACAGTAAGCCGCACCTTATCCACTGCCAGAAGATTGTTACACTTGTCGATGCTAGAGAAGCCCCCGGTATACCTCCACAGATGCAACGCCTGGTCCAGATCACCCACCTGCACTGTCCACGAGGCCACCAAGTCACATTTGAACTCATCCTTCCGTGACAGAATCATCTTTACGCTTTTCTCACTGTGGCAAACCATCATTAATTTTTATAAAATCAATTCATTTAGTCTTTAACGATCGATTTGGCAACACTAGATTTGAAAATTGAAGTTTAAGTTTGAAGTGATTTGAAGTTTGGCTTAATGTGTTTTAGCTAACTTTCTTCCGTGGAAGTTGCACATGATATAAATATTTTTATAGGGACATGGTATGGGTGGATTCAAAATGGTAGGACTTTGTTATTTTAGATTTGATTTACAATGGATTTTGTAGCCAACCTCCCACTTAGCAAGGTTTAAAAAGAGATCTAGTTGATCCGTTATAATTATCGTTCTCTTTTCTTTCCCTATAGATCTGGATGAACACACTTACTGGCCCTCTCATTTTGTTTAATGACTCAACATTGTCAGCGCTAACGTTGGTAGCTCAGCAGCTTGGGCGGGCCACGCGTAGTGGCCCTCTACATGCTTCCTGTTCAGCTCAGCTGTCCACCCCATAGTGGCCCCCTGTTTCTCTTCAAATTATTTAGCATTGTAATTTTGTTTTCAATTCTCTCCGCTTGGGATGTGCTGCTCTCCCTCCCAGAGATATTTGATGGCGGGTTTCGGCCTGTCAGGGATTAGATAGGTCCCGAGTGTTGCTTGCACTGTGTTGCGTTCAGGGCATTCCATTATGATCCTTAAGGGTTTCGGCCTTGGTGGAACCCATTTGGAGTGTACGTGCGACCAAGTAACCGGTGTCCCTGGTTAGGATTAAAGGGGTAACCCTCTTTCCGAATGGTTGCTTTGGCAGCCGGTTAGCTTGATGGCCTTAAGTCATCCACCCATGGTGTTCAAGGTTGGTGCGCAAGCTCCAGCTGACACTATGGGGCCCGGGCTATGTTTAATTAAATGGGTACCAGGTAGCCGTCTGGGTACCTTGGCTCCTTTGACAAATAATAATAATAATAATAATAATAAGAATAGTAATAATAATAATAATAATAGTAGTAGTAGTAATAATAATAATAATAATGCTCTCCCTCCACAATCATCGGAACCATCTGGAGACAACCACAAGCCGTTGTTTTTCATTAGTGAGTTCAGTTATCAGCTCGTGTTGAGCATTAGTCCTTTTAAAGCCTTTAAATTTCAATAAATTTATATTTATGATTTTGAATAGCCACAAAAAGCTACCTAACATCCGATACCATACAGGATTTATTACAGTTGACGGAGATGACAACCTTTCCATTTTGATTGAGTTTGAAGATTTGGAGGAATATCAGCATTTTATTTTATTTTATATACAATACTACTTTATATTATTTGGTTTCAAGTACTAAGCTTTGAAATTAATATTATATATTAGACAGGTTTTTTTTCTCCTTATCACTAAATTGACAAAGGATAGTTGGTAATTTGCATAATAGTGTACAATATTCATGTAACTTGTAAAATATATAATTCGGATATGATTTTCTTTTATTTAAATTTTATTGTAAATGAACCATTTTTATTGTTTTTGAATCAGTTTTGGCCACAAAATATAATTTTGTTTAGAAATACTTAAGAATATTAAAAAATTTAATTGTTACAGAATCGATCTTCAAAGTCGATTCTGATACCGATACCTGTGACAACCCCGTGATTGGAAAATTAACGCTATTGCTGCAAACACACAAGACTACGATGACGTTTCCGTCACAGCCGCAGGAGATGTTCATGATTTTGCCGCTATCTTGGATGATGACTGACATTTCCGTGAACGCGGGAGACGATGATGATTGCCGATGATTGTAATGTTCATGATTTTGCCGCTATTGCGGACAACGACGTTTCCATGACTGTGAGAGACGACGATGATGTTTCGGCGATCGTGGACGACGACGATAACGTTTCCTTGACCGCAGAATTTGATGATGATGTATACACGGCCGCGGGAGACGTTCATGATTTTTCTGCGATCGCGATAGACAGTGATGATTTTTCCGTAATTTAGGAAGTTATTTCATATTTTACAGTGATCGCTGAAGACGATCAGATGATATCTCAACGACCGCTGGCGATGATCACGATATTACCTCGAGTTTGGCTTGACTGAAAATGCCAAGCTAGCACACCTCTAAAATATTATTTTATTTTTGGTTTTTTGTTAGCTCTTCATTTATCTTTAATATAGTAGGTAGTTAGTTGGAAATTGGCTATCTGGAATGTATCGTAGCTGCATAATTTTTTTCTTACTTGAAAAACACCTCATTACCTCAGAAATGCTCAATGGAAGGACTTACTTTGGTTTATACTACCCGTTGGTGTAGTATAAACCAATCCATTCAGAAAATTTGGTAAAACAATTAAAAAATAGTATCGGAATCGAAAATCGAGAATCAATTTTGTAGGTATCGGTATCAACACAGTATATATATTGCAACTTGTCACGTTATGGAACTCGTGGCCACACGTAGTGGCCTTATGACCGCAAAGGGTTAGTAAGATAAGGGTCCAATTTTATTTAGATTGTTAAGTTTTAGAACTTATTTTAATTTTATGAACTTAGTTATATTTGTATGACTTACTAATTATCGAGGTATTTGGAAGTGGAGTCTGGTCGAACGTTGTGAGTCTGTAGTTCATAAATGACCTCTTTATCGGACAGCATACGAGAGTGAGGTTCTTTGGTGGGTTCGATCTTACGAACCAGCAGCTTACTGAGCCATCCTTCGCTGACATCTCCTAGGGCTGAGCTCGTGACCAAATGTCTGTGACAAACCAAATGTATGGTTGATTTTGTGTTACAGTAGAAAACTAGGAATAACCAAGAACTGGTATTGAAATAAACTAGTGGATTGATTCTTAGGCTGCAGTGAGGTGTGTGTTAACAGTAGTGAATGGTATAGGCCTACCCATTACTGTGGTCAATTATAGAGATTTTGAATCATTCCAAGTAAGCACTAGCAACACAGACAAAACATACATCATTAGTGTTTTTGTGGCGTAGAATGAGAATAAGAAATTTATTTACCACTAAGCAAATACATTGTTTACAGAGCCATCTATGAGGCACCCGGCAGCTCTCACCAGAGAGGCCCCTCTACATCCTGATTCTTCGAAGGTTGGAACTTAAGGGTTTAGAAATACACGTGGTATTGCTTCAACTCGATTAAAACAATAGGTTAATGGAACAAGAATTGAATCGATATAATGTAAACGTAACATACTGGTAAGGCCAAACACATCTTTACTATCAGTTCTTATCAGTCAGTCGATGCGAGCAAACGTAGTTTCCTTGTGAGTCCAGCGTGTCGGCTTTGACTATTAATACAACAACTAGACATTCCATCCCCATGTTAAATTTGTAGCTAGATTTTTTATAAAAATCTTAGTAGTTGATGTGAGCTACCTACAGATTGCGCTGATCTAAATTACTACAGTAGACTCCCTCTTATCCGGACTCCTCAGGACCGAGGCCAGTCCGGATAACAGGTTTTCCGGTTAAACCGACGTCCCAAAAAACTCGTTAAAATGGATTGTTCACTGTGATAATAGACTTAAATTCAGGAGAGCATTGTTTTTAGACATGTGATCACTGGTCTGGTGATAGGCATGAATATGGAACAAGAAGGGTCCACCTATATAGCCGCTTAAGCCACGCCTTAAGGAGATACCCTCGTTCAGCAATAAAGATCTACAACTCCCTGCCAAACAGCGAAAGGAACCTCGACTGTACAGTGTTCTCAAGACCGAGTTGAAGAGCTTGATCACAAATAGGCCCCTGTACAGTCTTGAGGAGTTGCCTAACAATCAGCTAATGCAAGGTTGAATTAACTGACACGCATACCACAGCCTAAGTTTAAAAGATTTTAGAAATTTTGCATAGTAAGTTTTGTAAGTAGTAAATTTTGTAAATATTAGTATAATGACACAATCTATCCAGGATACTTCAGTCAAGGATTAAGACAACAAGTATTACAAGTAAGTAAGTCTAGGGATAAGTCTATCAGTGTGGTCATCTGGTTCCTTAGGTGCAAAATAGCCTACTACAGAGGGGGTCAAATTTGGAAGCTTTTAAAATGATAAACTGGTACTCAGGGCCACTTTTTTATAAAATGACTATTGAGTTAGGTTACAGTAAAGAAGGCTTATAATATAAATGTAGCATTAAGGCATTAATAAGGCATTTATTCCGTCGTTCAGCACATTACAAATTAGCAATAGACATCGTCACATTTTATTTAGAGGGTGGTTTTCATAGCTATGGTGACTTTTAAAATCTCAAAATTATGTTAACATTAAAGTGCGATGAAGACAAAATTCTGTTTCTGGCTTTAATCTTATTTCAAACTATAATGATAACAACAGTACTAGAACTTTTCTTCTGAAATTATAGTAAAGCAATGAATTTCCAAATGTAAATCAATTCCTAACATGAAATAAAATTTTTGAAGTTGTAGGAAATGAGTTTGAGACAAAAAGTGTCCATTAATCATTGACAGGTATAGGCCAAATCATAAACGCAATATAAACTTAGTTCAGATTAGGGGCTGAGAATTATACATATTCTACAGGCAGAACTTTCCCTGATATAGCCTTGAATTTTTTAATCACCGAAATTTATTCCGCTATCATGTAGGCCTCTCACAAAAAATGAGTAAAGTATGGATATTTTTAAAAATAAATAATAGTCTTAGCCCATTAAACTTTCCATGCAATAATGTCTAAAACCTTAAATTATGTCAATCAATGTTTTATGTGTTTTCACAGGGTGATAGGACTTTTAATCGACATTCAGATGAAAGTGCTTTGATAAGACAGTGAGTGAAACGCATAAACAGTAAGATACTACCCACAGCTCAATAAATCCAGTGTGATGTTTTTATATCACATGTCTTACATAATGTAATATAAGAGATAAGCTTGCACAGTTATTAAGATATAACAGGCAAATATGAACTGCCTGACAAACAAGTAACAATATTAGCAGCTCAAGCATATATTAAATATTTTTTTATTGTAATAATACATTAACGTAATATCTCAGAGCTTGTAGCCAGTACCGGTACGGTATTCAAAATATAAATTCAAGTAAAGATATAATCAAAATTTCAGTTTTAAATAGTCTCGTAGTCAGAAAGCACATTACACCATGGAATTTGACTTTTAACCTTCCAGAGGTCGCATCACGGAAGTAACCTCCAGGGATGTTTTATTTTTCGCGATTATATTATTTTGAGTGGTGTCAGCAGTGTGAGTGTCACTGTACACCTCATTCCTAGAATCGAGTGAAGGTCTAAACTCACCCCTACTATTTTATATTTATTGGTTTTGTTCGGTTTTGAAAGAGGCTAGAAGTAAATTTCGTGTGCGCTCTGCCGATTCTTATACAACCTGGAGGCAACTTCCGTGATGCGACCTCTAATTTAGTGTGTGCGTTGATTATTTCGTGTAAACAATTACTGTAAATAATTATTTTTTACGATTCATGGCATTATTTAGTAAATATATAGTTTTTACAAGATAAGCGAAGATGTTTAATTTCAAATTGCAACACTCTTAGCCGAGCTGAAAGGGAGATTCACGAACGACGTATGTACAGAGTCATTTAGTATTAAGATACCCATTATGTTAAATTACTTAAAACATCAGGTATTGAGAGTGTTATCATCTAAAACCACATTATAGGACATTGTGGTAAAATTTGAATTAACTTCTTTAATATATTCTTCTAAAAGATTTCTTCATATTACTTTTATGTTAGAACATTTGATAGAATATTAGTTTAATTTTACATTTATAAAATCTAAATTACGTTATTTTATAATTAAGAGTTCACTAAACACATTTTTTATGTTTAAAATTAAAAATAAAACTTAATTTATGCACTAAAATACAAATTTTACATAACAAATGTTTGTTTTTATCAACCTGGAAGTAACCTCCGGGTGCACCCTCTCCCGTTTTGAAAATCAATGCGACCTCTGAAAGGTTAAACTGTTTTTTGCATTGGTAAAATCAATTAACTACAAGCGAAAGCATTGTTCAGTTGTTTACAAGCTCATTCCTGAAAAAAAAAAATTTAGGGGTCTATGTATAACACAACTTTCCATCCAAAGACTTAAAATCAGAAATTATTTTATTTACTTAAAACTTAAATAACTTAGCTCTGAACAAAAAGACTTAACTTAACCATTTTCATATATTACTACCAAAGATTTGTTGCAACTACATTTAGGCGTACAGTAGACTCCCTCTTATCCGGACTTCTCGGGACCGAGGCCAGTCCGGATAACAAGTTTTCCGGTTAAACAGACGTCCCCAAAAACTCGTTAAAATGGACCGTTTAAATGTATACTATATACAGTATTTGACTTAAATTTAGGAAAGCATTGTATTTAGACACGTTATCACTGGTCTCAAATCTTTCCTACTAGAAGAGTTGTTCAGTAGTCTACCGTCCACTTCCTGCCGATCTAGTCCGGTTAAACTGATGTGCTAATAAAAATTGTCCGGTTAAAGAGATGTCATTTCTTCAGAGTGTAGTCCGGTTAAACCGATGTTTGGTTAAAGGTGTCCAGATAAGAGGGAGTCTACTGTACATGTTGTTCTCGATGTCTAGCAACTTAAATAACTAAATGCTAAGTTGCAGTACGGCATCAATGTTTTGTTCAAGGATTAGATTTCAGTAAATTTTTCTCTAGGGAAGAGCTTTACCGTAATCTTTAGGCCTATGGTAAGACTTAGGTCAAGGTTATAAGTAGTTTTCATTTTAGAGTGTTATGATGCCAAAAATAAGTAGTGTTTGATTTAATTTGCTCATATGTAACCGTAGGGATACCTGGATTTTTTCCGTTTGGGTAGATATTCTCATAAGAAATATCCAGTTAATATCCAAATTTGAATCAAACATTCAAACTAACATCTATTTAGGCTAACTGTAGTAGCACACTAGCTCAACCTAATCCTAGGAAAAGAGTTTTTGGGAGGTTTGTACCCCAAAACATAATATGTTGTCTTCTAGGGTAACATTACGTAGAATATAGGCTATCAATTAATTGCTGTCAGTGAAATTGGAACGGAACACTTTTAAATTCATTCCAAGATTTAAAGATTGTATTGTGACCAGCTTTTTTGTTCCTTGTATCAGAAAACCTAAGTACCATACTCATTAAGCCAAGTCTATTTTATAATATCCTGAATTTAATGAGTAAAATTTGTTCTGCTATTAAAATTGACTTTGCCTTCAGGTTTGCTGGTGCAAGAGTATTCAATATTATATGTTTTGCAAAATATTAAGTTTAAGCTTTAGGCAGAATTGTTTTATACATCGTGATTTTTGTTACTTTTCAGACATATACTTCATATCATTTCCACCCTGCAAAACCTCATTTTCCGTTCCTGGTGTAAAATAGAATATTATTAATGCTATCACATAACCAGACCATATTTACTGAAAATACAATTTTGTTTTTGCTTGATTAACACTCACATTATTCTTAGTCTATAGGTCTATCACAAACGTTCCTCACACAATTTAAAAGTTTCTGTAATTAAAAATTTTTAGTTCCTAAAGGTTTTTACCATTAGCCTACTTTTATCTTATTGGTCTTTCTACTGCATATCAACTCCATAAATCTACTACCCTGTAGGACAGTTCTCACAAATTCTTTCATTCTAAGATTTCCCATTTCCTTTAGCTTTGATCTATTAAGTTCTTTAACTGTATGGGTCAACACCACCAATTGGGAAAATTAGGTTAAAGGAAAGTTTTTTTAAATTAAAATTTTCAAATTGACTTAAACTATTGATAGTTTAGTCTCACATATTGTTGGGGACACTAAAATGCAGCAGCAGAGCACAATTTTCATTTGTATATTAAAAAATAAACATTTCCAGTAGGTAGGGCCAACCATAACAGGGATGGAGAACGGACGGGTCACATTAACTTTACCTCCCACAAAAAAAGGAGTTTAAGACATATTCTGCAAACTACTGAAAGAATGTTTCATTAAATAAAGAATGAAAAGGAATAACATGTATTTATTTCCCGATTTAATAATTTTAACCTTTAAAAATTAGAAAATGGTGTTGAAGCTGGAAGTGTATCATAATTTGATACCTAATACCTAAAATATAATCATTGGAAATATATATTAAAATAATGAATTTACTATTGTGAGATGTGAATACATTTTTTCATCAGTTTTATATAAGTATATATTTATATAAAAATGTATTACCGTCATTTAGTATTTTTACCTCATGACCGGCGTAGCAGACGTGACTGGTTGTAGCAGACACGGCCGGCCGATAACAACAGTGACCGTTTGGTAAACTTACGTGACATACAACTAAAAGGTAAGTTCAAGGGAACATAATAAATCTAAAAGACGATAAAACTTTTTTATTAGCCTACTATAAAATATGAAACTTACTATTAATTAAATTGAAGTGTAATAGGACACAATGAAAATTGCGATTAACCCTTTCAGTGCTAGGCCAATAATTAGTATTTCGTAAGACTTTTTTGTTTGCCTTTCAATTCCATTACCTGTTGTTGAATTTTAACTGTAATGTTGTCACTATTTTATTAATTAGGCTAATTTTGAATAATAAGACAATTTAAGAAAATATATAACACAGATAAATCCAGGTAGGCCTATTTGTAGTAAACTATAAATAAAACTTAGTTTTGTTGTATTTTTCCTGGTTTTCCTATACATTTTTATGTTCTGATAGCATTGTTTGAAACCAAAATCTCATAAAATCAAAAGACATATAGTTTATAATGTAATATTGAATTTAACTTTGATTTAGTTGGTCGAGGTTATTATAATATAGCCATTATAGGGAAAATAATGTTTTGCAGCAAAGTCTCAGGAACGCATTTATGATCACTGTTGTGTTTCAGCTGAAAAATATCATCTAAATAGACTAAAGTGACTAACTAGTGCTGCTACCTAGTAACGCATTGAACAACCATCTGTAGCGCTATCTGTTTGCAATCTGTGGCGTCAGCTTAAATATCGGTTTTTGACTCCTCAGTCTTCAAGCACAGATAGCCGAGAAGGCTAGGGTGTGTGTCACTTGGCCAGTGGCATTCGTCTGCTCGGGTTCGATTCCCGTCATGTGTGGCAAATAATTGGTAACCTGTGTGTTTGTAGCGATATACTACAACCACTGGGGCATAGTGAGGTGTTCATAATCCTTGGTTTAGACATAGGCTACACCTCGAAATCATCAGATTGGGCGAATCTTTTAGCTAAGTGGTTGTTAGTGTATCCTATGAACATACAGGTCACCAATGGCCGTTTTGCTACTTTTTGTTAAAATAACCTTCCTCTCTACATCCCTTAGAGATTATTTAAAACAACGATATATCGTTTCATAGCACTGAAAGGGTTAAGACATGTATGAAACCTATAAAAGATTCTAGGTATTTCTCTTCTTAAGGTTTTGGGGTATGGGAGTATCTTAACAACCTGGTCGATAGAAATATATATGAAACGTCATTATTTCTAAAATAGTGTGTGGATTTTCACATTCTTTCTCTATAAAACGTAATATTAAGCAAAGAAAAATCTTTGTATAAAGACATGTTAAAACTAACATAAAGTGAAACCATTTTTTTAACGGATAGGACATTTATTAAACCTATAAAACATTCAATTTCCCTTCATGACGATTTTTGGGTATGGTAGTACTTTAAGAACCTGATCGATAAAGTACTCGATAGATTTTTTTATTGTTAACATAACAGCTTTCAAACAAAAATATTTTATAGCAGCAACCAGTGATTTGGTGGCATATTTGTACTTAAGAGCATTTTCCTTCAATTACCAATTAGCCTACTTGCTAATAGTATTATATCATGTATCAACTTGACTTTATTTTCAGATAGGCTTAGATGATTGGAATTAGGCTATAAGTAAGAATAGCAAAATACCATTCTTGTTTATAACTTGGCAGAGTAATGATTTCTTATTCATTTTTTAGCCTGTATGATTTTTAAATTATTTACACATAACAAGGTAAAAAAAAAACATGAAACACATGCATATTAATCTCTTCACATAGGCCTACTTGTCAGAACGGTAAGATTACAACACACATAAGTTAGCCTGCATGAAAACATTTCAACATTAATTTTAACTTTTAAAAACTAAAAATAAATAAGGTTGTTGAAACGGATGGCGATACGACTCTGACAATCGATAGGACTCTGAGGCAATAGGACCCTGACTATCACCAGCCATAATGTAAGCTTTCTTTTTTTTAAGTTCAAAAAAATGTCAAATGTTTAATGTGAGTTATGTGTCATGTAGTCTACTTTAGGCCATTCATACATTGACTAATCTGTGAAAAGAATAATAGGCCTATATTCAATGTTTTTTTAAGACCTGATGATAGGTTGATAAAAACTTTATAGGCCTTGACATACTTGATGTAATCTATATTTGAAGAAGAATTGCATGGACTGAAGACAAAACTTCAATTACTTTCTAGGCCTAATGGTTTTGCCTAACATTAAGCTGCCTGATTCAATAGCTTTTGGTTCATTTTCTTACAAAATGCAACATTGCATAAATGCAAAAAACAAGCTAAGTTATACTTAATTTAGCCAGGTCAAAAGCGGAGCTCTAACATGGAGCTAGGATCAAAAGTGTAACTTAAGAGCTCCGCATAATGTTGTGTGCTGTACATATAATTATATTGTCTATAAGTTATTGTAAAATGAAGCTGTAATATCCAGCTTAAAATTCATTCCTTAGTTATGAAGAATATCAGGCCGACCTATTGAATCAATTGAGCCAATAGTTAGGCTAGTGCACTTTGCAATTACCGGTAATACAACTCACCCTATGTTTAGTTTTTAAGATCTGACCAGCACAGTAAATTCAGCTATTTTAGCTGATCTATCAAATAGGTCATTCCTTGTTTTTTTTTATTTTTTTATTAGGCCTATGACATAACCGATCCGGCATAGCTGGTCTTGGCGAAGAGGAAGTTATCAGGTAACCCACTCAGTTTGGCTCAGCCAAATGAAGCTATATAGCACTTATAGAGATAAAGTTACCACATTGTCAAACGGTACATAAAATCACTTACGTTATGCACCAACTTTTTGGGTACAGTTTCTTAACAGGGCTATGCTAATATCAATTGAAACTATCGATTTTATTAGTAAACCTTCATGAAAATTTTCACCATCAGCAAATTTGGTTGGTTAGGTTAGGTTATGATAGGTAGTTTAATTTTATAATAGATATATTTAAAAATAAGTTATCAAATATTAATCAGTATTTTCAATTCGATAGTTTCAATCGATATTAGCATAGCCCAGTTCAGAAACTGTACCCAACTTTTTAACACCATATACTGCGAAAGTGACTAATTTAGTGGGTTATAATTTTAAAACTTCTTTCGATGCCTATTCTGGAAGTTGTGCTGGACTAGCAGTAACTTATTGAGTTTAAAAATATAGCAAACAAGAAATTTTGTTTCAAATACTGTAGGCAAGAGTTTAACATAGATTTTGAGACTGAAATTGAGAAATACTTGACAGTAGTCTGAAATTGAGACCACCGGTGAACTTAATATTAACTTATTTACGAAGTGTAAACAAAAAATAAGTAGAAGTAGAGCAAGTTAATAAAATTGTTTTCCAAAGTTATTTGCTAAGAACTAAACCTATAAGTTAAGTAAATTATTATACTTTTCATATTGATTAATATAATCATTTGCCTACCTGAAGGGAGACAGCTGAACTGATCGTTGAGAAATTAAACTAACCCCTTTTAATGAAATTGCCATATTGTTAAAGAAAGTAAGTTCTTGAAGTTTTATGATGTTATGCGTCACTTAGATTATGAGATACCCTAACACTTAATTCAACTGCTCATTTTTGCTAATTTTAAATATTTTTACAATAAAACAAATTGGAGTAAGAAAAGAATTTCAACTTTTTTGACAGAAGTCCAAAGTACTAGTTTTCAGCTTGATTAGTTGATTATGCATAAACTTTTTTTCTTTTAGTTTCTTTTCTTTGCCAAGGAGCAAGCCAGGAGGTGACAATAACAAATCATGTGTTTAGTAAACAGATGTTCATAGTTGCCGGTTTTAAAATGTAGTCACGTTCAAGCCAGGGGTCAGGAACATTACGAACATAGAATGAAGCCAAAGAGTATTATAGTTATCGTGACATACATGACAATGTACCGAGGAAACTGAACAGAGAAGGCATGATTTTTAAACATAAACAAATTATGTTACTTGCCCGATCTTTTTATTAAATATTAAATCATTTTTTTTATTCTTTTTACCAAAACAAATCTGCTATCTTTATTTATAAATTATGTGTCTCCTGATGTTCTATGTCTGAGTGAAAATTGGCTAGAATAGATATATATCTATCACAATCTATCTAAATCAAGATGAAATAAGGACGCATGAACTCGGTTTTGTGCTAAAAAGTCATGGACTTTGTGACGAATCGCTCTCATACACGTGGCCCTGTATGCTTGAATACTTTTGCAACTTCGCTTGACACCAGGACCTGTGTGACTTCTGTTAAGACCTGTTTGTGAAAATAAGTTTGGTTATCTTAGGCTATCTCTATTAAGTAAAGACTGGAATGCAGAAATTCAGACCAATGACTCAATGTCAGCTTTTGACTCCTTTTTCAGTATTTTTATGGACTGTTTTGACCAGGTCTTTCCTAAAAAAAATAGTGCCTACGTAAGCCTAAGCTTAAGCCTAAACCTTCACCAACTACTAAGAGTGAGCTAATCTGTGGTAAGTCATGACACACACACCTGACCTAGATCAAATGAGGAAACTCGTCTTGGCTTTTAACGATAAACATAAGCATGCTGTTGAGGTAATAGATCAAAATAGGTACTTAAGCTTCTAATGTACACATTAGAAGTAAGAGGTTGTATAGTTGTTGTATAGAGGTAGTATAGAGTAAAGGTGGACGAGGCAAAGAAACTTGCAAACATGACTGAGATTGAAGCTGCGAAAAATCCGTGCAAGGGGGCATGGAATTTGGTAAATCGTGTTTCTAAGCTAACCCCAACTCTTAAATGCCCCGCAAATCCTGATGAATTCAAATAATTCAATGAACATATTCTGGGGGAAATTGACAAAATTGTTGACTCAGTAAACCCTGACAGTGATGTAAATACTGGAACTAAAATACCGGACAAGCCTATTATAAACTCTAGATAACTGGGCTTATGTAACGCCTCAAAATATCATTAAAATAATCAAACAATTCAAGAACACAACTAGTCAGGATATCTATGGCTTTAAACATCATTGTGCTGAAACACGTTGCGGACATTATTGCTGATCCCCTAGCAAAAGTACTTAATCTTTGTATGTCCCATGGGGTTTTTCCTGATGTCTTAAAAGTTACTAAAACAGTACCCATTTTAAAAAAGGGCAACCCTGAAGATGCAGGAAGCTATCGCTATCGACCAATTTCCATAGTGCCTATGTTTCCAAAGATTTATGAGACTATAATGAAAACACAGCTTGTTCAACACTTTGAAACAAATGGTCTGTTTAGTGACTCACAGTATGGTTTTAGGAGCGGTAGAACCACAACTACTGCAGTTCTTAAACTTGTCACTAAGGTAGTCGATGCTTTCGAAGAGGGGAATTCAGTTGCACTCACCCTAGCTGACTTAAGCAAAGCTTTTGATTGCGTCTCCCACATTCAACTGCTAGAAAAGTTACATCTATATGGCGTTGGGGGCCAGCACTGCTTGCCTTTAAATCCTACCTCCTAAATCGAAAACAGATAATTGCAGTAAAAGGGGCAAATTCACAACCATTGCCGGTTAAACATGGCGTGCCCCAGGGATCTGTGTTGGGCCCTGTGTGGCTTGGTGATGGTGAACGACCTCGGGCAGCTAGACAACGTCTTGCTTTTTGTGGACGACACGACTATCTTTGCGGATGCAAGCACTCCTAAGGAAGCCAGGGTCAAGGCTGTATAGTCCTTCGAGAAAACCAAGACGTGGTTCAAAGCAAATAAGCTTTGCCTAAATGAAAGCAAAACGCAACACATGACCTGCAGTCTAGCTCGGAATCCCACCCCTGATAACCTGCCTGAAGTAAAATTATTAGGCTTCATAATCGACCACAAACTCACCTGGGGAAAACAGGTACCATGAAAGTGTGCACCAAGCTATCGAGGACATTACATCTCTGTAGGAAGCTCAAACCTATGCTGATCCAAAGCAATACCTCCTACTAACTGTCTGCTTTGTTCCACAGCCATCTCAGCTATGGGTTGGAGGTTTGGGGCCATGCAGCTGGCTGTAAGGATATACTTTTGTTACAAAAGAAGGCAGTCAGACTTATTTCGTCCGCTGACTACCACGAACATTGCAGACCTCTTTTTAGTAAGCTCAATATCCTTACAGTATACAGCCAGTACATTCTAATCACCAACGTAAGGACCAACATCTCTAGTCTTGCATTGAGAGAAGACCATCATGATCACAATACAAGGTCAAAATCCAACCTTGATATCCCTTTCTGCATACTAAACAAAAAAATGACAGCTTTCCTATATGTTGGCAATTAGGATGTACAACCGACTGCCACTGTACTTTAAAAACCTTGAGGCCTCAGTTTACAAAAACGAATTGAGGGAGTGGCTATACTGGCAAGGACCTTATAATCCCTAGATGAATTTTATAAAATTTGCCTGCCACTAAACTTGTAAATATGTATATAAATATTGTTATTATTATTATTTTTATTGTTGACTCAGTCTATCCAGCAAGAGCTGGTCAACAACGTCGAGTGAGTAAGTAAGTAAAGTAAGTAATTAATAATTATTACAGCTGGCTTTGGACGTTTGTCAACAGTTATATTTAAATAATAATTCAAACATAAACGAAGTGAGAGAGGTCGATAGGTCATAATGTTTATATGATATTTTTGTTTGTTTTGACCTCAGGAACATGCGCACTGAGTTTCGTGAGAGATTTTCGAAACACCCTATACCTACGGTGCAGGATCAAGTGGTTTATTTTACCATCTTTACTTTCGTCACAGTTCAAAGACTCTACAACCTACCTATTATCTACAACCATGGTTTCGACGATAGTTGCGTCATGGTCACGTAGTTGTTAAGAAGTCGACATTTATCTTGACGTAGTCGATCCTTCGATCGCTCGGACGTCGTCATATTCACAAAAACACTAACATAAACACAAACGCACATTTTTACAACAAAGAATTAAGACATGGTTATCGAGGACTGAACACAGGCCTGTGACGAACAGTATTATATTAAATAGTACCGTCGCGGGAGCCAGCTGGAGAACACTCAATGTATTGCATCCGCAATAAATGTAATCCCAATATCCAGGCAAAAAGAGAGACATTTTTTCCAAAATCACTTTGTTAACGAGATATCTGCCATTTTGTATTTTTTACATAAACATTTTTATTTTTAAATTTTTTCAAACGATCTTTATAAAACTTGGTTTGTAGGTTAAGGTAAAAGGGACCCATGTTAGAAAAAAAGTTCATCTTGGGCTTGATCCAACATTAAATTTCAAAATGGCGGCCATTTTTATTTTTTAAACTTTAATAACTAAAAACGGCAAATTAAAAAAAAATTTCAAGTACACTTTTATTTAGTATTTTCAATTCCCTTCCAAACAATATCAAGTTCAAAAAGATCGAATAAGAAATGGCTGAAATATTACGATTTTTAGTTGTAAGATTGTAACGAGTTATTTTTCCTAGGGGGGTAAATGTTTATTTTCCTCTTTTCAAGCTATGATTAATGGTGAAAATAATCAAGTTTCCTTGTTTGGAGATATCGGTTTAGGCTTGGGTTTGGTAATTATATCGACCTCCGAACCTCATCCGAAATTTTTTTTTTCAAATGGTCAAAATTCATACTCTGATTCCAAAAATGATTGTTGTTTTCTCTGAAACGTACCGTTTCTCGGATAAGCGGAAAACATATTTTTTGCTCAAAAACCCATGTTGTGCGTACTCAAATTGTGTGGAATTTAATCCTGAACAAGAATATGTTTGCCGTCGATTTCCTTGACCATACCTGCTTGCCTATACTCAAGGTTTGGAGGATAGTAACTTTGACTATTAATACAACAACGTAATCTACTACACCAAAAATCTTCTCCGGCAATCTTTCCTCCAAAACATCCTTGATCTTGGACCAAACACGGTCGTTGACTGGTTTTATTTTTATCTTGAGGTCCTGCTGTTCCACAACAAACAAAATAAAATAAAAAAACGGTTAGGTAGGCCCAGTTACGTTGTGGAAATAAATAAGGCAAAATTCGGTAAAAGAAAATATAACAGAGGTAGTTTGATCAAAGGACAGTGGGTTCTAGGGGTAGTCACAGGAACTGCGGAGAGCTTTTTTATCCCTGTCTCCGTGTCTCCGACCGTACCAGACAGACCCTGGTTAAACACAGGCCCGTTAGTACGTCCGACAGGGATCAATCATCATCACTGATTGTTGGTTGGCGTACTATACGCAAAGAGAAGCAGATTCAAGTACCTGATAGTAAATCACAGCAAGAACATTGTGGACCCGAATTCCGGTGCGCATATCAACAACATACAGCGACGTTATGGTGGAATATCCAGGCAGCTATTCCAAAGGGTACGTATGGCAAAGTTGAGAAACATTTCTTAGGTTACCTTACCGGAGTACCATTTTAAAGTACGCTTCGCCCACCGATTTCGCCCTCACTACTTCTCCACAGCCACCGGGTTAGTATACCCACCTATCCACTAACTCTGGTAAGGGTTAAAATAACCTAGGTTACCTTAGTTTAGGTTACCTTAGTTTGGGTTACTAACCCAAACTAACCTAATATAATCTTACATAAAACAATGCCCACATTCCACAGTTGAGTAGGAGCACAGAAAACATACTACTATAACCATACGGTTATAGTAGTATGTTTTCTTTGGTAGGAGTCATCCGCAACGCTGGCGCTATACGGTACCCGTAGCAAATGAGTCACCAACGAACGGCCCGCTTTTCCGTCGATATTTAATTTTGTAGCGATCTTAATAAAAACTAAATATTCTTGTTCAGGATGAAATTCCGCACAATTTGAGTTCCCACGACATGGGTTTTGATCAAAACATATTTTCCCCGTTTTTCCGCTTCTCCGAGAAAACTACAATCATTTTTGTAATAAGCGTGAAATTTCGACCATTTTGAAAAATAAAATAATTTTGGGTGATTTCCGGAGGTTAATATAATTACCGTAATATGGGTTCCCCGTAAAGTAAATAAATAAACTAATATTGCATAATATTGACATATTTTTGTTTACTACTGCATCAACTATCAACAAAACAACATAATGACGCCACCTTGCCTATCCCTAATTTGATAGCACTCAACCAAACGATCATAAGGCCAACCTAACAACTCGAAACACTGATAAAATCAGCAAAAACAGTGGTACGCTTTTTAAACACATAGTGGTGACTCTAGTTATTATTTAATCATCTCAATGACTATGATGTGCTGTTGCTATTGTGCTCTTACTCTACGACCTCATGCCCTCTGTTCTGTTACTCTATTCTATTCGTTGGCGCGCTTTTCCAGCCTCCCTCCACATCCACCCAACCCACCTCGGCTTCGCTTCGCTTAGAATTTTAGAAAGAAAGGGCAAAGGGTTCCTTCTTCCTTCCTTTCCTTTCCTCTTTCTTTTCCTCCTGCTCCTGCTTCGTGCTTCGCTGCTTCTCCTCTGCTGCTCTGCTCTGCTCTCGGCTGAGTCGGCTCTCGCTGAGTTCTGAGCTTCGCCTCGTGCCTTGCCGTGGTTTGGTTTAAATACTTATTATCAAATAACTAAACTACCAAATTAGTCAATCATTTTCGTCTTCTCTAGCGGACCAAGTAGTAGAGCTCTGAACTTGAACAGGAGAAGAGTATTGCCATTACCGAAAAGGCTGGTGGCGGCATTGTCAGTCGTAAGTAACTTAGGCCTAGCCTATAATAATTGTATGAATATCAAAATATTTAGATTTTACAACCAACTTAATTAGGCCTACGTTTTGCCATTCGTTTGTTGGGACCATTAAACCCCTTTGGGTTTGGGTTTTTGGCCTTAGGGTATTTCCATAACTTAAAGCTAGTGGCTAAGTGGCTGCAATGCCTATTTCAGGCTTTAGATGCTGTCCGATATTTATTATGACTTTCGTTTTGAAATGAGTTTCTAATAAGCAGATAGGTTGTCCAGTAACTTAAAACTAATTCATATTCGTTCTACCTAGCTTAACCTTGTAGTTTAATAGATCATAGGTCTAACTTAGGCCCCTTACCTAAGGTTTAGGCGGTTCAATCACACAAGTAGCCTTATCTGCCCAAGCCACAGAAAATCTGTCAACATTCACACCCTTTTTGAGATATTCTACTGGGATCAATCTTCTCAGGACGAACCTTGCACCTTGTAGGCTAGACAGTGAACATAGGACAACTTCATGTTGTTAGCCTCCGGATCACTGGTATAGTAATAAATTATGGTTTAAATACCTTATACTGTCAAAGCGATCCTTTGTAGTCCAAATATAGGCTACTGCAGTTTCGTTGCCGATGATGGATCACTTTGACAGTAAAATATAAGGTATTTAAACCATTATTTATTTATAGAATAACAGTAGAAGGGTCATAGTGATTGTTATGGCGTGGCTAATTGCACAAGCTTTTGTTTCCCTGAGAACCATGGCGGTTACCATGACGCTAACTGATTGGTGACTGTTGACTGGTAGCTCCCCCCTGGTTTCCAGAATAGGTACTTATTTAACAGACTAGAACTGAGTGGCAGTATGGTGAACGAATGAATTAAATAATACTTTAAATTCTCATAGGCTTATGTTACTGTAATAATTTACAGCAAAAGTACCTAGGCTAGAAGAACAAAAACTCCTTAGGCCTAAAATAAGATAATATTCATAATATACTAACTTACAACAAGATTATCAAAACTAATTAGAATAGATGTTTCTGTCCTAATGAAGCTAATTTTAATTGTTTAGCATGCACTGTATTAAGCTAATGTAGGCTAAAACCTGTTCGATTGGTGTAAGTTGCTAAGCTGACATCGACATGCCATTATGCTGTGTAGGGATGTTGCAATACCACTGTCTTTCCGATTTTTTGTATTGATACCGTATCGTAATAAAAGTATCGGTACCTACCCGTATCGATAGTATCGCAAGATTCCTAATGGTGTGATGTTGGCTGTAATAATTCAGTGTGTCTAAGTTACTAGTCTGGTAATTGGGGAAAAAGTCGGGGATTTTGATAGGTCGTGAAAAAAGTAATGAATTTCAGCCGAAGTTCGCGAATAATCTAACCCTTAAAAATTAGAGATTAGCGGATCCCAAAACTTTGTCAAATTTTTTTGAGTCGTGTACTGTATTCCTGATCATTAGGACGGGATTACCATTTGAAGGGTGTGCGATGCATCGAAAATACATCGGAATACCTCGATTCAGTGATGATCAAAATAAAAATTTGATTCATGGGGGTATCAGTATTCATATGTCACGTTATTGAATCCGTAGCCATATGTGTTGTTGAATCAGTAAGTTATCCATATGTTATTTAATCCATATCCGTATACGTTTTTGAATCAGTATCCATACCGTACGTTATTGAATTAGTATCCATAACTTATACGTAGTTGACTGTTACATTGATCATACTGTTACTTTGACTATCAGATCCATAAGAACTTATGACATTTTCCAAATTATTAGCATTACCATAATTTGGCCTTACATTAGATGTAAGGGTGTCAAAATGGAGAACAGTAGACTCCCTCTTATCCGGACATCAGATTAAAACCGGACTACAGTCTGCGGAAATGTAATCTCGGCGGAAATGTAATCTCTTTAACCGGACAACTTTTATCAGCACATCAGTTTAACCGGACTTGATCGGCAGGAAGTGGGCGGTACTGTTCTCGTGGGAAAGATTTGAGACCAGCCATAACATGTATAAACTCAATGCTCTCCTAAATTTGAGTCAAATATTTGGGTTGCATGCATTTAAGTGGTCCCTTTTAATGAGTTTTTGGGGATGTCGGTTTAACCGGAAAACCCGTTATCCGGACTGGCCTCGGTCCCGAGCAGTCCGGATAAGAGGGAGTCTACTGTACCTACATTTATAACAACATTTCACCTTACACTAATAACATTTGGATGAAAAAAAACTTTTCTATAGCAGCAAACAAACCTAAGTAGGCCTACTCGTCATTTAAAAGCTAAATAAATACCTATGTCTTGTTTATGGAACTATTTTAGTATGAATCCAATTAGAAAAATTAAAATTTACTTAGTCTGCAGTAATTAGTTTGCAGTTCTGCTACGTAGGGGGTATTTGAATTCAAGCTCGGGTTTGCCCCAATTTGACCATTAATTGATAAAGACTTGTAAATAAAATAACATTTATTCTGTTATAGAAGACATGGAGGGTGAGGCAAATCCAATATTGCCTGTCGAAGAACAAGATTCGATTGCAGACTTTATCGAACTTATCGACAGTATCGATCTTGCAAAACTAAGTAACCAAGGGAACGAGTGCTGTTCACTCCCTTCTGATCTTCAACAATTGTCTCTAGCCGGACCTTCATGTTCAAATTCGACATCTGAGGGGGTAAAAGGGAACGAGGGCTGTTCACTCCCTTCTGATCTTCAACAATTGTCTCTAGCCGGACCTTCATGTTCAAATTCGACATCTGAGGGGGTAAAAGGGAACGAGGGCTGTTCACTCCCTTCTGATCTTCAACAATTGTCTCTAGCCGGACCTTCATGTTCAAATTCGACATCTGAGGGGGTTGTGTGGTTTAGTGCTGGAAAAGAGGCGGATTTACAACAAAAGGAAAAAAGAACGTACCCGCCAGCTCGAAAGCAACCGATAAGGGTGGGTTTAACAATCTTCAATAATCTGTAGACTAAGAATACAATGCATAATGGCATAGGTACATTGTAAATATTGCAGTTTGGACAGTGCAAGTGACAATAATACTGACTTGTTGGATAGATTTATTTCTAAAAATTATACATAAAGTACAAGGCAAAAGTCACCAAAACTAAATATATAAAACATAAAAACTAAAACTAGAAAGTTATAAATGAAAATACAAACTTCTGGAGGTACATATTATATAAATTAATTGTAATTATTTACAAATGAAGACACCTTGTAGAATTCTTTAGTAGGCCTAACTAAAAATTCCCTCAACCGATGCTTAAATCCTTTGTAATTGTTTCAGCTTTTATTGAATTAGGAAGTAAATTGAAAACCATTGAGGTCTAAGTGTACCATTGAATGTTTCCTCTGTGTCTTACTTCTCTGTGGAATCAATTTACAAACTTTATTTATGCTCATCTTTACTGTAACTTCGGCTTTACAAAAAAATTACATGAAAATGTTTGTATTTGAGTTTTATGCGAAGCAGCTAAAATAACCCATGTTTCAGCTTAAAAGCGTGCCGCTGTTAGGCACTTTTAGCTACTCAAGAAATGTCCGGCCATTGTTTACTTCTTGTTATTAACCATGACATCGGCTCACACCCTAGCAGCTTCTTTCTATAGTCATAGACTGGTGTGTGTATGTTAGGTTGTTTGAAGTTCATATGAGCCAAAGCTCTGTCACACTCTCAAGGTTTTAATCTGTACCAAGAAATAATATAAATAGAAAGAGCAGTGTTGCCTGTGATATGAGATCGATACGTGAGGTTCAATGTAAAAGGGTACCTCACCATTAAATCTCTAATAGTCAGGTGCTTGCCATGTTTTCAGAATCACACACACAATAACCCCAGGCTACTTATCTGTCCAAACAACCTTCCCCTCAAGGTCATACCCCTAAAACGCAACTAGCCCGAGGGTGATGAAGACTCTTAAACAATTTGTGACGTATATAACTAGTTATAGATAAATGCTTCTTGAACCTGTGTTGTTCTACAATTTATAAAATTATTGGAAGAATTGCATAGCTTTATCTCAGCTATGTAGTATTAAAAAGAAGGTATTTATTTCAACAAACAACTTCTAAGAATTAAAGTGTTGATGTTCATGTGTTAATGTTTTTTAGTAGTTATACAAAAACTACAAAAAAAAAAAAATGAAATGAAATGTTCAGTATTTATTGATGTAAAACAAATTTTACCTGAATATAAATTATTTGATTTTCAGGTAAGCCAAAGGATAAAAAAAAAACCAGATGTATTGACGTACGATTGCAGCACGGACAACGGCTATATATGGCCAGAAAGAAAATTGGCAGGGCTTTATGCTGGATGCGTTGTACTTGGCACTGAAAACATGGAAGGTTTGCAACGATATGTGCCTGAAAAAAAAGAAAAGCATATTAAAAGACAGCTCAACTTGTGGAAAGCAATTGGTGAACAAGCAACAAAAGATCAAGTATTAGGAGAGTCTGATGTTGAGCCAGCCTTTGATATAGAAAAAGTAAAGAACCTGGATGAATGGATTGAATATTTCCATAAAAATAAAAGTAATGCATTTGATAAGAATATATTTTCGGATTATTTTTTGTTGTTTGCTGAATATGGAGATCTACCTTCCAAAGAAGAATGTGGAGGAGTAGACCCCAGGTAATATTAGGCCTAGTTTTTTAATCTGTTATGGAATAGACATGCTAAGTTTTTTTTATATGATAATAATTGGAGTCAATTAATTTAGCACTATGTTAGTGGCCTTTGTGTTTTTAAGAAATTAGCACATTTAAGCTTGTCTTTTATATGTTTCATAAAGGTAAACAGAAAAAAAGTGCCTTGTCCTTTTTTAAGTACAGATTTCCATGATTTGATGAAGCAAAGTTTACTCTATAGTTCTATCGGACTTAGGCCTATATTACAGTTCCACAATGTTTTAATGTTAAGATTATGAGAAATCATTCTTTGTTCAAAAATCCTTGTAGGATGTAGCCTTGACTTATCTAAATGTAGGAAAACAACCAGTGGCGTTGCAAGGGGAAAGGGGATGGATTCACCCAGGCACCAGCTTAGGCCCGGTTCACACGAGTGACTTTCCTAGCTGACTAGGCTAAAGCTAGGTAAGCCCGACTGGGTAGTGGACCACAGGATCACATGAGCGACATGTCCCCGTACTAGATGAAAATATCGTTATCAAAACCTCTGGGATCCATCACGTGTGCACAATGAGAACAAAGGGAAGAATGCGAACAGCAGCGAAACTACCCGATCGCTCGTGTGAACGCTCGTATAAAGCTACGTCAGGGTGTCTACCAATCAGGAAAACCGGAATTGTACTTAATTTTTTACTGGCCATAAAATGTACCACAATTGTCCTTAAATGCCAGACTATGTCCTTAAATTTTTAATGGGCAATAATTTTATCGATTGCTAGTTGGTTAGGAGCACATACAAGGTTTATCAGATGTTTGTTTAGTTTACATTTTCAGAAATTTATTACTAGGATAATTGTGCAATAAAAGACCATTAGAAGCTCAAACCCATTAATATTTTATCACCACAATCAAGTGTCAAGTCAAGTACTTCCAAGAACCATTGTGAAAATAGCTTAGTTCATAACAATTTTATCACTTTTATTCCTTTACAACTTCCATTATTTATTACTTGGGTAATTATTATGAGATCCCAATCCTATTTAATCATGGAAATAATAGTTTTATTATAATGGCTGTTTCACTTCTTACTTGTACTTTTATCTTCTTGAACATTCAATTTGCCGCTGGCCATTGCCTACTGTCATAAAACTGTTTATGGTTTCATATTAAACTTGTAACTAATCTACAGTATTATTTTGTAAGTTAAAACAATTTTTTATGGATATTACTTTTAATTGACAAAACCACAAGCATTGTTGTTTGCATTAATTGTAGCAGGCCTCTACTTGGTCTCAAATCATGTCATTGCATTTTCTGTATCTTTGTCTTATATTGTTGGCTGTTCAGGTTTTGTGACAGGTAGCAGAGTGAAACAACGAAAATGCGCTACGAATAAATAATTTATGACAAAGCAAATAATTTGTAGCTTCTGACTTGCTGTATAGTTTATCTATTTAATAAAATAAGTTATTGGGGAACATAGCCTCCCAAGCAGGCTATGGGGCAAGGCGACGCAGAACAGAACTTTACATGACCGACCGAAATGAATTTAGAATTTAGACTAACTAGACTGAGTGCTCCCTGTCCATCGCCCAGAGTTGGGCGTGGAGGGGAACCAGCCAATCACGTTGCGGCTATGCCGCGTGACGTCAGTGCTAACACTGGATAGTGCTGCTGCCTAACGATCAATCGGGGCGTTAGGTAAACTGTAGCTGCGCATTAACTGATTTCATCGAGCGACTTGCTGAGCTGTATCAGCAAATTCCAGCTATGCGCGTTACACTTTCCGAGAACGTTGGCCCGGCCTAGCGCTGAGCCATGCTGATGGAATATTCCATGGTGAGGCAACTGGCTGACGCAAAAAGTTGGGAGGTTAACAATCCAATATTACAGACCCTCCTTTTATATTTGAAATAAAGCAAAGCTTTTGTGACGGTACTGACAAGAGTTTCTTGAGGGTGTAGCAAAAACCTCCCCAACTGATATGTATTGGGTCTGGGAATTTTTGGGGCCGTCACAGTTTCAATGTTTTTGTTTCCCATATTTATTTATTGTGTTATATGCTTTAAGCAATCTAAATCTTATGAACTAGAATGATGATGGTGACTTTGCTGCTATTATAACCTCATTGTTTGTTACTCAGTTGATATAGCCCCCCCTAAATAATTAGGTCCAGGCCTGGGTATTTTTATTCTTTGAAAGAGCTGTAGAATATACTAAGAAAATGTAATTGATCCCAATAACTTTGCAAATTAAAAGACAATAATCTTTCTCTGTCCGTGCTTACTGGTAGCCGCTTACCATACCGATTTTGTACCGAGAACAGAGGTACAATATATGTATTAAAGATTTGTTTCAAAAGTAGTCGAGAACTTAACGTTGTGCTAGGGCGAATCATGCCTAACTAACCCACATAGATCGGATATGATATGATAATGTATCCATGACCGATCGAGATATTCAGGATTTTGTTGCTATTGCGGTAGACGATGATTGGGTTTCTCTGTTACACTAAAGCTTTACCCAAAGTAAATGTTTGCTCATTTCAATAAATTTCTAACTCTTGTCTATTATTACCTACTTACTTTTCTCTCTGGTACAACTACAGTGAAGAACAAGATTAATACAGTTTGACAAATCAGGAAAATATATTCGGTAATCTGTGCGACAACGGTTACGACAAAGTGTCCTTAAATGTACGGGAATTGTCCATGAATTTTTTATCCAGAATCCAGTAAACACCCTGTACGTGTACTGCTACACCGCTCGACTGGGTGACTGGGTAACTGCCACGAGTGACTGGGAAGCGAGGCCCGACTGGGTTTTGGGACACCAAGCTCGATCACGGCTATTTAGTCGGCGTCCTACGCTCGTGTGAACGGCTCCATTTGATCCTGTGGTCCGCTATCCAGTCGGGCTTACCTTACCTGTCACAGCCTAGTCGGCTAGGTATGTCGCTCGTGTGAACCGGGCCTTAGTGTGAGGTAGTACAAGTGAAAGCAGTGAAACTAGCATTAAAATTTCTTGTTATTTTTAAAAAAAGTACCTTTTTTTAGAAAATGAAAATACCCAGCCTCCCTCTATTCTCCTAAAATACAACTAAAAGTAAAGCCCTTAATCCAGGTGCCAAAAGATGTTGATACGTCAGTGTAATGACGCCAATGCTTGGTTTTTGAGTCAAAGTTAAAGACATGCTATTTAAATCTACTTCAATCAAATATCTGTATGTATGTACATTGTTAATAATAGCCTAATTGCATCCAAAAATTATTTGTTGCGTTGCGTTAAATTGATTCTAGACACAAGGAAAGAACCTGCATAGCACTTTCAATTTAATTTTCTACTTGTTGAGAGGTTTTTTTCCTGTAAAGAAAAACTATTCATTTGGTTGCTAAATAAAACTGATGACTGTTACAATATTCACTTTATTATAAAACTACATTTTATCTTGTAGGCTTACAACAAACAACTTATGACAGATGTTACATAACTCCAGATTGACTAACAACATGACACTAAAGTTATTCTCATTTAACAGTGTTGTCACTATACAGCATTATATTACAATCATTAAAACAACAAGTTGAGGTTGATATAGGCCTACTAAGCGGTTATTTTCTATACTCACCTTCAATTTTAAGTCCTTCCAAAAATTTATATGAAATGTTCCAAGAGTCACAGCTCATTGCAGTTGGCCTACTTAAAATTGCTTTAAAAAATCAGTTATCCTTTATCGTTAAACTGTAAATAAATACAACACTGGTTTTAAATAAAAAAACTTTCTTTTTTTAGCGAATTTCCCCTATAGGGAATAAGCTATTTACTACTCTATCTACCTAAAAGAAATTTCTTATGTAACTTTACCGAATGGTTTAAAAAAAGGAACTGTTTACAAGTGCATAAGTTAGGCCTATTAAATTTTGTAAGACAGTATAAGTTACAACAAAAAATGTATAGGCTAGACCTATAAGAAAATAAATAACTAACATTGCAAACATTAAGATCCTAAATATTATTATTATTAGCATGGATGACGTTCAACAGCCGTTGAGTTGGCGATCTGGTAATCATGACGTCACGTGATGGATGATGATATATCATTGGTAGTAGTTATCATTGATTCCTTATATTGGCCTACACTCGCCAACCCTTCTTAACTTCTAAACTTCTAACAAAACACTTTTTTAACTTGTTAAACTTGTAGCCTATATACACATGCCTTACTGCCAAACACACAAAATTTTCAAGGTTAAGGTGACCTAGAGAAATTTCTGCTGGTTACCATCAATTGCTCGAGTAGGCGATCCATTTTGTTGGTATTGCTTCTCCCCTATTTTGTTGGCATTGCCTCTCCCCTATTTTGTTGGTATTGCCTTCTCCCCATAAGTGCTAAGGTAGATTTGTGTTTACGAACATAGTATACGCTCCACTAAACCACATTGTTGTGGGCTGTATGTTGCCGTTAATTCATGCCTGATGCCATGTTTGGTACAGTAGGCCAATTCTTCAAATGAATTGGAAGTAAATTCTTTGCTGTTACCAGTTCTTAGCTGCTTGCCTCTCCCACGATAGTTATATCTGAAACTCCCTTGTAGGCCTACATAATACTTTGAGTCTGAGGTTTGGAAGATATAAAATGCTGTGTACTACCAAGGCGTATGAAAGAAGGTGTGTGCATAGTGACGTCACGTGCGTACGACGGCCCTGAAGGGACATTCCAGTTTCTTTTTGTCTTTCATTCTCTTCGACTTTTATCTCGAAGTACTTCGACTTTATTCTCAAAGTACTTCGACATTATTCTCGAAGTACTTCGACTTTATTCTCGAAGTACTTCGACATTATTCTCGAAGTACTTCGACTTTATTCTCGAAGTACTTCGACATTATTCTCGCTCGAAGTACTTCGACTTTAATCTCGAAGTACTTCGACTTTATTCTCGAATGTGCTTATTATAGTTTGTTATAATTTTACGGCAACCACAACCCAACTAACTGTTGATGTAGG